GTCAGAAATAGCGTCGAGTTGCTTAAAATCGTAGCCCAACAAAGCCTTGTTTTTGCTTAAGCCGGGCGTAGACTGTGCGATTTTTTTCCCTTTTCGGGCCGATTTTCCAGTCGTGAGAGAATTATTCGATCATGTCGACTTTCAGCCTGATGGTGCGTGGTGTAGCTGTACAGGGGGTAATGAGGGGCGATCAGCCTCTAACGACCAACTCTCCATCAGGAATCGTAATGTCAGGAGAAAATCAAACATGTTGTAAATTCAGTTGGCGGTCTTAAGGTGGTCGTGGGCAAATCACTCAGTGGGCAAACAAGGATTCTTCTTCTTCTTCCTCTCAGATGTAAACCCAGCAGCATGGCGGGGGGGCAATGAGTGAAATTGAGTTCTTTCTGTCAAACTGACAGACCGTAGTAGCCACGTTAGCTCAGCCATGTCTTTGTCCAAATATCCAAGGCAGCGCGTTTCACTCTAGTGAGCTTCATGTTCCTCTGCTACTGGTTTGGCTTCTGGATAGACGAGTCCCAGTAGCGCCATCTCACTGCGGAGCTGAGTCCCACCTGGTTTTTAGACGTACAGAGTGAGCAGGTAGATCGCATCAGAGTGTCGGGTGGCACAGCGTGAGAACAAACATGGTGAAGTGGGAGCTTTTAAACCCTGCGGTTGCGTCGTACAGTTTGAGCTGTAGCTGCGTGCAACGATTGAAAAAAATCGCAGTGTACGCTCAGCTTCAGACAACATGCAAATAGAAACGGATGAACAGGTCCCCCCCTTTGGAATGGGGGTCGTTTGGCTTCTTTGTTAGCCTGCAATGCCCCATACCTGTCTATGTCTCTGAAAGGGGGGTCGTTAGAGGGAATTGCTGGCCTGGCTGAACAGGTGAGGTCTTCTGTTCCCCTATTGTGCAAATAAAGAATAGTTGTATTAACCATACATTGAAACTGAGTTTTATGACGCCCCCAGAAAATGTAAGCCCTAGGCAGCTGCCTAGTATTGCCTAATGGTAAATCCCCCCGGCTCACAGGTCACACATTAACTGGCCTAAAGATAAATAGTATTTCAAAATCCAGAAATTCCAGAAAAAGTGTCAATCGATTCCCAAACATTTTAGCTGAAATCAACAGTTAAGCTCAGTAGTTTAGACTTTATACTGCAGGTGTTCCTCATTTTGTTCTGTCAGGTCTATTTATCACAGATCAAGTATTTTGAATGCATGGAAATACTTTGAAAGGTTAAGTTGCCTCATTGTTAAAGTTTTTTGTTTTTTTTAACAGTTATTCCAAACCTGCCAATAGAATCAGATCCTGACCAAGCTATAAATTATAAACTCTGATAGGGCGCCTCAATCCAGTGGACAGAAAACTGATGCAAAAACCAAGAAATACAGAAAAATGGAGGATTTTAGTCCAATCATCCTGGTATTGTGATCCCAGGAAAACAAACTCTTCAGTATTTCTTCAGTTTGAACATTAAACTTTGCATTTTGTAAAAAGAAATGAAGATTGAAGACAGCAGCAAACCGTTTGAAATTTCTTGAATGGACACATCCAGTTAGTCACAGTCAAAGAAACAGGACTACACTGGAAAACAGGCCAAGCTCCAGCATCTAGAAACAAAGGTGTTGATGGCAGCAGCACAGCTGATATTTCTCTCCAGGATGGAGTCACAGCCAAACAGGAACAGACCAGATGAAGCTACTATGAGAAAAAGCAGAGAGAGCAGAACGTTAGAGATTGAACTAACAGATTCTGCAGAGTGGGAGAATAGAGATAGAATGAAGCAGAATGATGAAAAAGGGGTCCCTATGTCCTCCAGCAGTCTAAGCCTATAGCAGCAGAACTATAGAGATAGATCAGGATAACCTGAGCCACTCTAACTAGAAGCTTTATCTAAAAGGAAAGTTTTAAGCCTAGCCTTAAAAGTAGACAGGGTGTCTGCCTCACGGACTAAAACTGGTAGTTGGTTCCACAGGAGAGGAGCCTGATAACTAAAAGACCTGCCTCCCATTCTACTTTTAGAAATTCTAGGAACCACTAGTAAACCTGCAGATTGAGAGCGAAGTGCTCTGTTAGGAACATCAGGAACAATCAGATCTCTGATATCAGATGGAGCTTGGCCATTTAAGGCTTTATATGTGAGAAGGAGGATTTTAAATTCTATTCTGGATTTAACAGGAAGCCAATGAAGAGAAGCCAGGATAGGAGAGATATGATCTCTCTTTTTCATTTTCATCAGAACTCTGGCTGCAGCATTTTGGATCAGCTGAAGGCTTTTAACTACAGTTTGTGGACTTCCTGATAGTAAAGAATTACAATAGTCCAGCCTTGAAGTAACAAATGCATGGACTAGTTTCTCAGCATCACCCCTGGACAGTAGATTGCTCATTTTTGCAATATTCCTCAGATGGAAGAAGGAAATTCTAGAAACCTCTTTGATCTGGGATTTAAATGACAGGTCCTGATCAAAAACAACACCAAGATTTTTTACTTGAACAAACTGAAGATCCAAAGTATGAAGATGAGAATGTGTGGGACTATTCACATTTTGAACAAAGCCAATAGTGTCTAAGATAGCATTAAAGGCTGCTCTTAAGCTATCGCCTTCAATGTCAGCATGGATGTTAAAATCTCCCACTATGATGACCCTGTCAGTATTTAATACCAAATCAGAAAACTGATCTAAAGATTCAGAGTCAGGACCTGGTGGACGATACAAAGTTACAAAAATAAGAGTTTTTTTTGCTTTGAAATTTGGATGAGGGAAATTAAAAAACAAGAGGTCCGACTTAGACTCAGCTTTATTTATCCCTTGGAATTACTCCTTCGAGGAAATTCTGGTTCCAGTAGCTTATATAGAGTTAAAGCAAGATAAAATACGACAGATATGACAAAGTATAACCGGTGTGCACTAGAAAGTGTTTTTTGTCTCTCTTCAGTGTCCCTTTAGGAGCTCAGTATAACTCTCCTCCTCTTTTAACAGCAGCACTATAATTTTAACACAGCGTCTCATTATCAGAGCAGGAGAAGCTTTGCTTATCTTCTCCAAGTCCATCAGTATCAGGAGGCCTGGCAGGTAAAGAATATGTCCACTGATCCCCACTTCTTCCCCTCTGAAAAGCTCGCATCTTCTGAAGGACATCGTTGCAGATGAGATGTTTTAGGACTAACTTTGCCGCCTCAGGCCTGTGGGAAGATAGTCTGAAGCTGAAGTAACCAAATTAACCTTCCTCTCTGCAGCACATTTGAATACCGAACAATTCAGCTGTTCTCCATGTTGGCCGGCTGACAAAACGGGTCAGTGTTCAGTTCCTCAAATGGCGATGCCTGGTTCCTCTGATTGCGACCTGGAGAGAAGAGACATTGGTAGCTGCTCAGGTTCAGCCCCCCCCCCTCATCGTTCTCCTGTCCATCAGATTAGGCTGCACAAAGTTTCCTGTTTTAATTTGAGGAAGTGGCTCAGTTAACGTTTTGCGGGCAGTTCCTCTTTCAGCCCACATTTAAAAATTCTTCCGCACTGCGCTCTCTCTCAGTTGCAGAGGAAGGAGGCCAGACGGCTCCACGCTCACGCAGGTGAGAGGCTTTTTTTCCCTCTCTCTCCTTAGATGCTTCCACGGCAGATATCTCAGCTAAACTCTGGATTTCAGAGTTCCTCTCAGAACGTCTCTGCTTTTCAGTGCATGTATTGGTGAGTAAGGGGGATTTTTGTTTGCAGATCTTCAGGCAGGTTTAACGTCTCTGCCCCTGGACTTGGTCAAAGCTCCTCAGCGGACTAAAGTCACCCTGAGGCGTTTAGAACAAGTTCAGGGTTTGGGACGGCAACGCTGCATGAGCAAAGAGACGTGGAACAGCAGCACAACAGCAGTTCTTTTACCTACCAGGCAAGTTTCACACATCTTTTGCTTCTCAGTGACACTTTGTCACATTTACTATGAGCCATTTATGGCGCCGTGCCTCAAAGTAAAATATGGTGCATAGAAAATGAACCCGACACAGGAACTTCTGGCTATAAATATGAAAAGGCAAATGACGTCATTTCTATCAGGTAGATTTGAAAACATTTGAAGCTTAAAAACAAAGCGATTCCATCTTGGTTTTTGACTTTAAAAGGTTGTAAAATATTTCCCACAGCAGCCATGGGGGAGAATTGACAGAAAATCCCTCCTGAACACTGAACGTATTTGGAGATATTAACCGTCTGCCTGCAGATGGACACTAACCGCACATTTCGCTGCTGACTGAAAGCAGGACTGAAAGTTTCACATTCAGGTGTGAAGTCGCTGAAGTGGCTCTAGTTCCTGAAATGAACCATTTGTGCTAAAGAGCCTAAATTTACACCTAATGAAACCAGATATGCAGCTTTAACCCTCTATAGTCACTGAAATACTTATAGCGTTATTGGATTCAGGAAAAAAAACCTTATTACCTTTGAAACATTACAAAAATATGCTTATATTAAGAAAAATAACAAAAGTGCTTCTAGAAGAAAATTATTTAAAAAAACACTCAACATAATGCTGATACTGGCACTTGTTTAGTTTATAAAACTAAATATAATTAACTAGACTTATTAACTTTTCAATTAGATGTTTACTGTTTTTTTTCTTTACTTTTTTACTTTTCAATTAACTTTTAAACTTTTTTTCAGCTTAATTTCCAGTCGGTAATCTATCATTCAAGGGCTCATCTAATTGGTCAAATGCCAAAATCAGATGTTCAGCCATGTAGCATTACCTTTGCTGAATGGATGGATATAGATCTAGTGCTTCTAGATCAGCAGAAGACTCCTCCTACCCAGATACACCACAGGATCCTACCTGTGGTCATCAACCTCTATAATGCCTCCCTCAAGTGATTCAGAAATGCTAACTGTCCCTATAAAGGGTTAAGATGGATGAAGATATAAAGTTAAAGGCAATGTTTATAAAAATCGAAACCTTTATTTTCTTTCTTCCAGAGCAGAGAAAAACCAAACGCCAGTGAGAACGTCGCCTCCGAGCATCAAGTCTGTTTTTCTTGCCTCATTTGTGACATTCGGTAAATCAATCAGATTTATGTTGAACAGGAAGCGTCCGTCCCGCGGCGTCTGCGCCGCCTCAGTCGTCCACGGCGATGTTCCGGAACAAGTAGGACATGGACTCTCCGTTGTGGATGCGGCGGATGGCCTCAGCCAGGATCAGACTCACGTCCACCGTTTTGATCTTGGGACACTGAAGCTTCTGCACCTCATGGGGGACGGTGTTGGTCACCACCACCTGCAGACGCAGCCATCAGTTTCAGTCTACAGAGGCTCAGTAAACTCAATAAACACCCAGCTTAGCATTCATAGTATGGATTTTTTTTTAATTATATTTATTGATGTAATGATTTAAATAAAACTAAGTTAAGTTTGTAAATCCATGATAACATCCAGAGTGTGTTTATTTATCAGCCTGCAGCTCCTCAGAAAATCATTTTATCCATCAGACCTACCCCTAATTATATATATATATATATATATATATATATATATATATATATATATATATATATATATACCAAGTATTTGGTCCTATAGTCACTGTATTACAGATGGAGTAATGTAAGGAAGGTGATTCTGATCATTGATCTTCTGCCTCCATTTATCTGTTTACTACAGTCTGTTGAATTCATCTTAATGTGGATTTAAAGACATTTAAATCAGTGGAAAAAAACTTGCAGAACCTCCGTAGACCCCCCCGTTGATGACCTCCGCTTTACATGAATACCATCGAGCACATACAGTAGCAGCCATTTGTTACGGTCACTGTTTTGCCGTTTTTTTTTTTTGTGACCCCTGCAAGTTGTAAATAAATGGTATTTTCCTGCTGACATCATCTTTTAGTTTACTGACTTTTGTGTTACACCCAGTGCCAGAATTTACCCTTTAGTGGTCTTAAGGGTGGGGGGGTTGTAACACCATTTAAAACAGCCCCTCCCAGTCAAATGCCAGCTGGCAGCAGACTTCCCTGCAGCTCCCAGCAAAATCAAAATCCCCTCCATCTTCCACTCACTGTTCTTCTCCTGGATCTGCAGATTTTTTGACTCAAAAAAAATCCTGAGGCTGAACTTTTTCATCACAGGCATGAAACTGTTGGCGTAGCTCAGGGCGACCAGACGTCCTCTTTTTTTTCCGGACATGTCCGACTTTTCAGACCTAAAAAAATGTCTGGGGGGGATTTCAAAACCGTCCGGTATTCTGGTCGACAATGCAGTCCGGGAACCCCAGTGGAGGGGGGCAGGGAGCCAGTGGGGGACGGTAGCCTGGACACAGGTGGCCCCGTGCTTCCCCCCGCCTGCCTTACCGGCTCCCTGCCCCCTCCTCTGGCTAAGGACGGGGGGCTCTTGGCTCTCTGCTGAGGTCCGGTTCAGCAGTTGACACTTCATATCCCCCACCGCTTTTCTAACACCCGCCCCCTTCTTCTTCTGATTGGCTAATACTGTTAGCTTCAGAGCGCTCCTTTGCTACCATTGGCCGACTGACTCATTTTATTAACATTAATTTATTTCCGAGTGATTTTCTACTTTAATCCCTGCTCCACCCTTTCACTGCATTACAGGGTCTGACCAGCAGATGGCGCTTCTCTTTAGATCTTAATGTGATGAAATGATGACAGAATATTTTAGTAGAAAGATTGATGTTTAATAAGGAATTATAGGGAACCAGCAAAGGAAAGTGGGTTAACTGAACGGCTGCTACTGTTTATTAATTTCTTCATTATATCTCCTGTTTATCTGTTTAACATTAAAATCAATGAGGATTCTAACATGAATAAATTCATGAGGTTTCTTTTCAATAAAATATCACATAAATAACTTTGTTCATTGGTTTTTCTTTACTAGCGTTCGTTAGTTAACTGCTGTTAAATCTAATACTTATATATTTTTTTTACAGTTTGTAAAGTAAATCTTAAAATAGTAAAAGTAATGCTAAACCTTGCTGAATACGGAGGAATAAACCAAAATGTCAGAGTTCTGTTTCCCTAATTGAGAAATAAGATTTGCTTCATTAGTCGGAGTCTAACAGCAGCAGTTAGACCAGCTTAGCAAGACTGAGCTTTGTTCTATAAATTACTGATTTTGTTGCTGAATTTTGAAATAGAGGAAAGTTTCCAGCCTCCCCTGCTTGATCTTTTTAGCTGTTAAATTTCCAGGTTTTTCTTATTGTGTAATAAGCTGGTGAAGATTCTCAGTCAATCAATAACGTTAAAATCAATCAATCAAATAATAATAATATATAAAACAGTATAACATTGATGCATAAACACCTAATTTTATTTCAGTGTTAAATTCTGTTTAAAGATTATAATTAAAAATGTCTGTGGACCTTTACTGGTTGATGATTTTCTTTGTTCTGACCCGCTGGTTTTTAATGGGTGGATTAAACCAAAGCTGACCTCATCTATAGCAGACTCCTCTATCAGCCGGGGGGCTTCTGCAGACAGCAGCCCATGCGTGGCCATGATGTAGATCTTATAGGCTCCTCTCTCCTTTAGTCGTTCTGCTGCTGCAACAAAGTCCTCCACGTCGTCTATGATGTCATCCTGTGGAAGGTTAGAAAGACCAAGCAAACTGAGCATCGGAGCCTTTAATAAAAACACGCTATCTGGGTTTTTACAGGTTTACATCAAATGCTGATGGCTTCACTGGAAAACAAAAATACCCGAAATTCTGACATTTCAACTTTATGAGAAATATTCAACATTAACATCAAAATCAGACTTAATGAGGAATGACTGTAAAGTAGATTAAAAACCCAAATCATTTCCTTTTTATGCTGTATTTTCATTTTGTGGGCATCTTACCACGATGATGGCGATTCTTCCTCCTACGTCTCCAACGACGGTGATAGGAGGCTTCTCCTTCGGCATCATCACTGAACAACAGATAAAAGTTACCCACAGAAAGGGTGCTGACTTTAAAAGGAATAGCTGATAGCAGTGAAATTATTTTACAACCATTTAACGAGCCTAAAATATTAATAACTCCTATTCTTCCCCATAAATCAATATAATACTCTGGTAATATAATAAACTGGTGAAGATTCTCAGTCATCCAGGTCAGAGTCATTGAAAATAAAAGTTAAAAACAATCCACTGGTCTTTGTTTCCAAGTTTGAAGACGTTTCTCTTCACAACCAGGAAGATTTTCTATTCAAAATGTCAAAATTGGTGTCGAGTTCGAGGCTTTATAGAGTGGACCAAAAACGAAGCGATATTTTAGTTTATAAAACATGCAAATTGAAACGGATGAACGGGTCTACACCTTTGGGTCGTTAAAGGGAATCGTTGGTCTGGCTGAACAGGTGAGGTCACCTGTTCACCTCACCTGTTAGGAGACATAGGGCCGTTTCTCAGTTCACAAGAACACGAGTACGGACTCACAACCCGGGAAAGTCTGGACTCTGGGAGAACCGGAGCACGCAGCATAAATCTGGGTCAATTGGAACAGCAGCGTACTGATGACATCACCACATTCAAAGCTCACCTGGAGCTGCATTTCACCTCCTGTTATTAACCCATTTAGGCCTAAAACGCCTGGAAAAAACACCTTAAAAACCTATGGCCGATTTTAAAAAATACCCCTAAAACCTGAAGTTTTTCTGTAAATTCAGCAACTGTGTCAACGCCTAAATTATTGATATCTCAGCTTCTGTAGCAGATAGAACTCAAAATATATTTTATCTTTGAAATTCTTCCAAAAAAAAAATTTGAAAAGCAGTAATCAAAAAAAAAAAAATTCAACCTTTTATTTTTTCCATATGTGATCATGTCTTCATTGAGAATGTGCAATATAAAACGTTTTCAAAATAAAGAACAAACATTACATAAATAACTATCTGATGATTACTTATTAACAGTATTATTATGCATAATAATGCATATTTCTGTGTTATAAATTGCATACAACCTACCTCCAGATGGCCACAAATCTGTCCCGGGACATATTTTGGGGGAACTGCGTCCTGAAGAGAGGTTTACATACACAGCCCAATAAATGTCTTCATCTCCGTCACAGTCACGGGTGACCACTTTGCCATCTTTGCTCTTGTTGGAGTTTGGTTTGTTTGGTCACTGTACCTATTCGTCTCGGTAACTAGATGCATCCAAAGTTCTTCATTAAAAATATGCTCAAATGCCTGCAGCGGTGTGGCGTCTGCAGGCAAATCAACTTTCACTCCAGGTGTGCGGTTGAAAACACTCCGTGCATTGCGGTGGTAGTTCGATTGGTTCAGCGCGTTCAAAGTTATCATTTTCATCTATACCGTCATCAAAGCCGACACACTCCTCAAAATCACTGCCTTCAGACAACTCTTCTCTGTCAAACTCCTCCATGTTTGCTTGAAAAAAACTTCTTTCTTCTTGCTTGACTTATATGCTCTCCCGGCGTCAATGGTAGAATGACGCAACAGCACCCCCGGCTTGAATGGTAGAAATGCGGTAATGCTTTCCCGGCCTAAATGGGTTAATAGTCTCTAGATAATAATAAATTATGACTTTTTTCTTCTAGTGGAGGAATAATGATGAACACAGTCAGATAAACACAAATAAAACAAAAATCTTGCCATCAGAGCCGGCGGTGCTTCACACACCGCTAGCTGTTAGCCCCCGGCCGCCGCTGCAGGCGGGCTAACGTTAGCCCCCGGCCGCCGCAGACGGGCTGACGCTAGCCCCCGGCCGCCGCAGACGGGCTGACGCTAGCCCCCGGCCGCCGCAGACGGGCTGACGCTAGCCCCCGGCCGCCGCAGACGGGCTGACGCTAGCCCCCGGCCGCCGCAGACGGGCTGACGCTAGCCCCCGGCCGCCGCAGACGGGCTAACAAAATGAGCCAAGCGACCCCCATTCCAAAGGGGGGTACCCGTTCATCCGTTTCTATTTGCATGTTTTCTAAACTAAAACCAGGCTTTGTTGGGCTGCTGGATAAAACCTGGAACTAAACGCTATTTCTGACATTTTGGATTGAAAAATCTTCCTGGATGGAAGAGAAACGTCTTCAAACTTGGAAACAAAGTCCAGTGAATTGATTTTAAAATTTTTGGAATATTATGCTTAAATTAAGCAATTAGGACATGAAGTTCTCTGTTTTAAGCAGCATTTATTTGATAGTTTGACTGACAGGAGACATGAGGGGAGAGATGTGCCGCAAAGGTTAAGATTTAAGGCCTTTGAATGCTAAATCTGCTCAAATTTTTTAGAGCCACAGTGGTTGAAGTTAGCCGGGTGGAGCTGATTTTAGCAGCTTAATGATCTTTAAACCTGAGAAAAGAGAATCTGGTCAAACTAAAGTGCTGATTCCTGCTTGTTACGGAGCCTTTGGTCATATTTAGGCTGCGTCTGTAACAGTCATGACAACCTGGATGAAAGACGTGAAAACGGTTGTTGGAAAGCTATGACTCTGGAATCTCCAAGGCTAGCAGCCATGAGAGGCGGAGTGACCACGTATCTGTGCCCTGAAGGCGTCAGGAAGAGTCCGCCATGTTTGATGGACCTTTAAACAGCATCGTCTGTCTAATCTATAGCATCAGTGGAAAAAAACTATTAAATTCATTTGTTTTAACAGCATTAGGGCTTCGCCTTAGAGGGATTTAAGGGGGGGGGGGGGGAATTTGTCCAGGTTTTAACTCCTTCGACAAAACGTGAAAAAGGGCGACGCCCCGTTTGGCGTGCTACTGGGACGGCCTACGCTCAAAGAAAATGGCTGCAATTCTAAGTATTTCTGTTCAAACACTTGCGCAGGTCTTTCCTTCGCCTTACATGGCAGCTCCAGGCCTGTGTGTCCCGCCGTGGTCCGGGACAGCGGGGGGGAGTGCCGACCGTCTGCCATGTCCGACTCTGAATGCTGCCCCTCCCCGTGCATCACCACCAGGCCGAGTCGCAGTCTCTCAGCGTAGGACTGGGCTCTGAAACAGGAGAACAGGTAGAAACTGAAGAGTCTTAAGCTGCAGCACCTCAGCCTGAGACGGAGGAAACCAGCTGGAAAAGGAAAAAGTTACGTTCAGACCAGAAGCAGCAGAACCTGCTGGTTTACATGCAAAGTCAATGGTCGATGCGCCTCATGGCGCTGCAAAAGGTCCTGCAGCATCTAGAGCAGCAGGAGCAGCGCCTCACGAGCTTCTGAGCGTCTGAGAAGCAGCTAAAAATGCAACTTTAGCCGTTGGACGCGCCGCATCGACCAATCAGAGAAGCTGATCTGGGAGCTGGCAGGGAGTCAGACGCAGCACTGCTGATGCAGAGCGCTATGATCACTCCTCTGGGAAAACGATCTAGAAATAAGTAAAAATTTCTTAAATTAAGTATATTTACCCTTAATTCTAGTAGGTAAATGGAAAAGTTTGCCAATGAAATGAGTATTTGTATGCTTAAAATAAGATAATTCGATAATATACACTTGAAATTTAAGTGTAAATTCTCTTGTTCCATTGGCAAAATGTCTCTTTTACCTCCTTAATCCAAGAACAAATGCCCGGTTTTTAAGAAAAATTACTTAGATTTCAATTTTTTGCAGTGCAGAGCGCTATGATCACTCCTCTGCAACAGTTTATTAACGCCTAGTTAATTAAAAATGTAGAAACCTGCCGGCAAATTATGTCAAATTTTATTATTCTGGTGCCTGCAGCTTGGATTACGTACGTGAAAAACGCTAACATCTACTTCCACCTGCCGCTAACAGTAGGCAGCAGAAAAGCAGACCCACTATCATCAAAGATGACGCAGCACGCGCGTTTTTGCCGCTCCTGCTGCGTGCATTTGAACGTAGCATTAAATGTCAGCAGAATGAAAACAAAAGGATGCTTTAAACCTCCTACAGTCAGTAGGAGGTTTAAAGCAAGAAAACCTTCAATTTTGAATCAATTTCTTGAACTAGCATTGCTTTATTAACGTGCTGCTGGATTTTCATCATAATATTATTACCATGTTTCAGAAACATTTACTTCAAAATTCAAAATTGATCCAGGCAGATTTCAAAACGTCAAAATGAAAAAGTTCTGCCGCAGCTTTAAAAAGTGACACCAAACTGAACCAGAGAGGAAAACTAAAGCGTCATTTCAGAACAGCTGGGACAGGTTGCCATGGTTTCAAAATGACCCGAAAACCATTTAAGCATGTTTAAATCTAGTAAGTAACTCAGGATGGACAAAATAAAAAGCTGTGATACTGAGGAACAGTAATACTTCAGTTAAAGTAATACCGTATTGTTTGGAATATACGTCGCTCCGGAGTTTAAGTCGCAGCAGTCAAAACATGCATTATGAAAATGAAAAAAAAAACATACAAAAGGTGAAACGGACTAAAATTTGCACCTTTTATATATTTATATATATTAATATTTCATTAAATAAAATAATCTCCAAAGACAACAGCTACGGAAATAAAAACGGTCCTTTAGTGAAGAAGAAAAGAACAAAATTCGAGGAAAAAAACAGTAGAGATGAACAATCAATCTTGAAAGAAGTAAAAGGCCTATTTTAAAAACGCAAAACAAAACCATCTAATAGGCTATGCAGCCACAGGCCGATTACATCGCGCTATGAGAGAAAAAAATTCATAGCTGTTTGTTGTGGTAAGTTTTTTCTTTCAGCGGTATTAATAGAATACATGTTGTTGCAAAGCTACATAGCGCCCTCTCATGGTGAAAAAAAAACAAAACGTATACATACCGCACCAGAGTCACATGGCCAGCCAAGTGCGAAAAATATGGTAATCCCTCCCCACCGCTGGTATCCATAAATTGAATTTGTCTGATTATAAGAAAAAACGTTTGATGTCGACCAAAGTCAATATTAATAAAACCATTTAAGCCGCTGTCACACCTTGACGATTTACACCAAGGTATGCTTGACTGTACAGTAGTGATGGTATGAGATGAGTCGAGGCTTCAAGGCGTGTGTAGAGTAATGGAGGGGGCGTTTCCCCGAAGCGCGTGTCGAGGCGTGATTCATTTAGAGGAGGGGCCAAAATTAATGACGTCCGATAGAGATGTCCCGATCCAGGTTTTTGCACTTCCGATCCGATACCGATATTGTTTTTGGACTTCCGATCCGATACCGATACTGGCCGATACCAGCCTATCCGAGCATGTATTTAAGTTTAAGTTAAAGTATTTAGCCTTAGTTGTAAGACTCATGTTGAAAAGGGTTTTAGTACTCTTGATAACAGCTAGCCAGCTAAATTAGGTGAGATTGAATAAAACACAATGCTTGGTAACAACAAACTTAACTGTTTATTAAGAGATAAACACAAACTGGACAAAATTATGAATAGCAATCTGAAATTGCACAGTGAACAGTAAAACCGTAAACAGTTAAAGGTGCAAGTATTACTGTAAGTTTTAATAAAAATGCAAAACAGGGAAACACTGGCGCAAAATAGTGGAATGGATCGTTTCAATCGGCGAAACTGGAAAATACGGACCGGAATTTTTTTTTAAAACTGGATCGGCATTTTACATGCTTTGCCGATATGCATTTTTTTGCCAATATCGGTGTCCCGATCCGATCCACGTAGCGGGACAAGCCTAACGTCCGAGGCCTCGCTACCGTGATACCATGTGACCGCTTCGGGATGTGGTTCAGAAAGCGCAAGATCAGTCAAGATGTGGGAGTTTGGAGGAGAGCTGCTGTCAGCTGGATAAAGTTTGGATAGATTCTAATAATAGATTGGCTGGAAAAACAACCAATCTAGTTGCTAATTTGGTTGGAATAAACAATGTAATGATAAAAATTTGTAGCCTGACGTAGTCCTACTCAATTCTAGTCAGAATGAGTCTGATGCTGATTATGGGGCGTGTTTCGAACGAACCAGGAAAAAAAATGCCTCTGCACTCAATTGGATAGACCTACAACCAATAAGAGCAACGGAGTGCGTGACGTATGTTAAGCGACGCATAGTTGTTGTCCACAAAAATCAAAGCGTGCAGTTGCACGCCTAGAATAAGAAGATGAGCCTTGATCGCGTTTCTCTGTTCCTCTTTTAAAATTAATTTGCTGTCGATATCTTCTAGAACAGACCTAATAGCAGAATCTACTCACCTCAACTCTCCAGCGGCAGCCATTGTTGTTGTCACCCAAGCGCGCTTTGGTCACGTGATTGATAACGTTACTGTTGATCATCTGTCCATCATCGTATAAAGCCCGCCCTGACAATTTGATTGGATCGCCTGACAGTGGGCTTTAATACTCGCGCTACTATGGAGCAGAGCCAGACCGAACTTCCCGACCTCAAACCTTGTGGGCGGGACTAAGTTCGGACTGGCACCCAGGCTACAAAATTTGAGCAAACCATCGGACAAAGCCCGCGTTAACACGTCAGTCTTAAGAAGTATTTTCTCCTGAGTGAGAGCATCTACATAGGTGGCGTCAGCTGTAAGAGTCAGGCTCCCACTCTGGAGGTTGATGGTTCAAGACCTGTTTTTGACTTTTGAAAATTTCGCTTAAACTTAATTATTTTGGCGGATGAGACTAAACTGCATTGTTTTGCCCGAGTAAAAATATAGATTGGGTAAATTATGTCGGTTTAGCCAAAAGATTGGTTGAACACAACTTCCAACCTGATTAAAACCAAAAAACTATCATGTTTGAATAAAAATTACTAACACCGTTCATTTTGCTCATCATTGCCCAATTTGCACAAACACTGTCACAGTCTGCTTGAGTTTATTTCACTAAAATGGCAGAAAAACTATGCACCTTAAATTATTGTTCTAAGAAATTTTACACATAAAAAAACTTACAAAAGATTTTATTATACACACCAACCATTAATCATTTCAAGGGAACTTAAAAGGGGAAAAAAAGATAAACAGTTGCAAAAAAAAAAAAAAAAAAAAATCACAGATTTTATTAGAAACTGTAGTTCTGCTGTCCACCAGTAGGTGGTGACATGTTCACATGAAGCCTCATGAACTGTGGGGATCGTTGAAGCAATTTGGCCAAACGGTTCAATGAGGCTTCATCTCAGCATCACTAACGTACAGAAAATCAGGTAAAAACGACGGCATACGTTGGATAAGTTAGAGGTACGTTTTGTAGAAGTTATGAGCACGCTGAAGCTGGAAAACGCTAAAACACGTTGACCGACGGTGACTACGTCGAGAAATGATACTCAAAATTTTACTTGTTTATTTTTTCTACTTATTATTACTGTAGACGGGATATTAGGGCCAGAATAGAGATTTTTTTTTTCCTTCTATTTCGATAATAAAGTCGTAACATTGCTTTGAAGTACTTGAAAATAATTATTGTGAAACAATAAAGACATTTTCTATTCTATTCTATAAAAGGGGTAGAAAGATATAAGTAAATCTAATCAATATATGTATAAAAAATATATCTGCAAATTCTCTAATATTCAACAACAAAAAATACTTTTTATTTTTTTATTGCTGTTTTGCACAATTTGCTTTTACTATCAGATTTATAGTCCTCCCCCCCGCAGATATATTAGAATCTGTCCTTAAATTCCAGCCAAACTAATTTAATAAGTACAGGTGCTGGTCATAAAATTAGAATATCATGAAAAAGTAGATTGATTTCAGTAATTCCATTTAAAAAGTGAAACTTGTATATTATATTCATACATTACATACAAACTCATATATTTCAGATGTTTATTTTGTTTAATTTTGATGATTACAAATGACAACAAATGAAAATCTCAAATTCATCATATCAGAAAATTAGAATATTACTGAAGACCAATAAAAACAAAGGATTTATAGAAATGTTGGCCAACTGAAAAGTATGAACATGAAAAGTATGAGCATGTACAGCACTCAGTATTTAGTTGGGCCTCCTTTGGCCTGTATTACTGCAGCAATGCGGCGTGGCATGGAGTCGATCAGTCTGTGGCACTGCTCAGGTGTTATGATAGCCCAGGTTGCTCTAATAGTGGCTTTTAGCTCTTCTGAATTGTTGGGTCTGGTGTATTGCATCTTCTTCTTCACAATACCCCATAGATTTTCTATGGGGTTAAGGTCAGGAGAGTTTGCTGGCCAATTAAGAACAGGGATACCATGGTCCTTCAACCAGGTACTGGTAGCTTTGGCACTGTGTGCAGGTGCCAAGTCCTGTTGGAAAATGAAATCTGCATCTCCAAAAAGTTGGTCAGCTGCAGGAAGCATGAAGTGCTCTAAAACTTCCTGGTATGTGGCTGCGTTGACCCTGGACCTCAGAAAACACAATGGACCAACACCAGCAGATGACATGGCACCCCAAACCATCACTGACTGTGGAAACTTTACACTGGACTTCAAGCAACGTGGATGAAGTGCCTCTCTTCTTTTCCTCCAGACTCTGGGACTTTGATTTCCAAAGGAAATGCAAAATTTACTTTCATCAGAGAACATGACTTTGGACCACTCACCAGCAGTCCAGTCCTGTTTCTCTTTAGCCCAGGCAAGACGCTTCTGACGCTGTCTGTGGTTCAAGAGTGGCTTGACACAAGGAATGCGACAGCAGAAACCCATGTCTTTCATACGTCTGTGTGTGGTGGTTCTTGAAGCACTCACTCCAGCTGCAGTCCACTCTTTGTGAATCTCCCCCACATTTTTGAATGGGTTTTGTTTCACAATCCTCTCCAGGGTGCGGTTATCTCTCTTGCTTGTACACTTTTTTCGACCACATCTTTTCCTTCCCTTCGCCTCTCTATTAATGTGCTTGGACACTGAGCTCTGTGAACAGCCAGCCTCTTTAGCGATGACCTTTTGTGTCTTGCCCTCCTTGTGCAAGGTGTCGATGGTCGTCTTTTGGACAACTGTCAAGTCAGCAGTCTTCCCCATGATTGTGTAGCCTATAGAACTAGACTGAAAGACCATTTAAAGGCTTTTGCAGGTGGTTTGAGTTAATTAGCTGATTAGAGTGTGGCACCAGGGGCCATCAATTTTGAACCTTTTCACAATATTCTAATTTTCTGATATGATGAATTTGAGATTTTCATTTGTTGTCATTTGTAATCATCAAAATTAAACAAAATAAACATCTGAAATATATGAGTTTGTATGTAATGTATGAATATAATATACAAGTTTCACTTTTTAAATGGAATTACTGAAATCAATCTACTTTTTCATGATATTCTAATTTTATGACCAGCACCTGTAACAGATAAAAACCTTTAGATAAATCAAACATTACCGCCACATATCTGACTCTATAACCATTAAAACAACTATTTTCATTCATCTCAGACGGAACTATTAAATGACTTGTATTATATTAAACTGCACTTCCAATATTCACCACTGGTCGGCGCCATTTCCCTTTTTCCTCTGATCACGGAGCAGCTGGCTTGCTTGGTCTTGCAATGAATCCTGGGATATCCAAGAATAGTGAGGATACATTGGACCCGTCCTTCAAATTGGGCAAAAAGAAGGACGCATTTTAAGGTCGCATAACAAGGGCCGTTTCTCTTAACGAGTACGTACTCGTTTTCTCGTTAAGTCCGTTCTTGCCGAGTACGCAGGAAGATCGGACTTGACGAGAACGCGAGCACGCAAGCACGTATGTGTATGGGAACAGAAGCGTACTTGTGACGTCATCACATGCAACGTTCTTTAGCATTTCTTTAACACTAAAAACTATTTATTCCCTACACAAAACATTCTGAAAACAATATTTTTAATTTCTAAAGCTTAAAAAACATTAAAAAAAATTGGACGTTTGGCCGAATTAAAGCAAAAAACCGGCATCAGAACGAGCTGTAGTTCACACATAACTAGACCGAGAGAAGTGCACTACAGACGGGGTAACATTAGCCCTGGCTGCGGTTACCCTCGGAGGTCTGCTGGTCACTCTGGTACGCTCAACGTCGGACTTTATTTTTTTTTTTCGCACTAACTCTGTAAACAGGCCACACAGGGAGGCTTCAATGTATAATGTTATCGCCTCAAACGATTTCAAAACGTACTTTTGAAGAACAACAGCAGCAGAAAAGGGAATGTTTAACTTACCACTGTGAGCGCTGTCTGGAATCAAGCTGCGGCCGCGGGGCATTCTGGGGAAGCGGTCAGTCTGAAGAACGCACAAGTCTGCTCTGATGCATGCTCGATAAAGAGGGCGGGGCCAGAACAACATCCGGGGATTTGGTGCGTTCTCGAGAATTGGAACGGTACTCGGGCTGAGGCTGATGACGTGCCACGAGTACACGAGAACGCTCATATTGAGAAACGGCCGAGGAGTCTTGGAATCTGACCAGACCTCGGCGCCGCGCTATGACGTCATCGGCCTTTGAATCTGGCCTTCAGAGGACGCAGCCCATGAATTCCAACAGAGTCATAATGTCTATGGTAGAAAGCGCCTGAAGACCCAAAGCTGTGCCTGATCAAAACTCTAATTTTAGCTCAACTATAGATTCATTTTATCCCATAAAAGCTGCAGCGGTGCGGCTGAAAGCTTCTCCAAGCTGGGAGGAGCCAGTTGGTGACCCCTGGTTTATATATATTCGTTATTTTCTAAAACCTCACAGAGTACGAGACCGTGCTCTGAGCTAAACCTCATCTATGAGGGATCAGAAATCCCGCCTCTAGGCTCCTGTTACCTTTTAGCAGCAGATGGAGTCTTTGCAACGATGACGGCGTTCCTGTAGTCTGGGATCTGGAGAGACAGAAGAACATTTTTTAAAAAAGGGAAAAACTAATGATATAAAGGTAAAAATATTTAAGTAATAGATGTCAGAGAGACGTTTTCAGAGAAAAACTAAAGGGTTTTCTATTTGATGTACCTCCTCCTGGATGTACTGCAGGAGGAAAGGCGAAGCGCGGAGGTTGTCGATGGGGATGTTAAAGAAGCCCTGGATTTCCTTCTGGTGAAGGTCCATGGTGATGATGTGAGTCAGTCCTGCAACGACACGCAGAACCTTCATCAGATGCAAAAATAACCGCATCAGATGATAAAATTATCCTTACAACAAAATAAGCGATGTATGGATTTCATCAACAGATATTTTTCCCAGAGAAAACTGAATATAAAAACATTGCAGCAAAAATTACAGGAAAAGTTTAAATTTTAAATCTGAAATTATTCCATCCTGTTCAATAAATGATCAGTAGCTACGTTTACATGGACACAACTAATCGGATTGAAGGCCTGATCAGATCAAAAATGTTTCATGTAAACATGTCAGACTGAAGATTCTAATCCGATTCGGTCCGATCGGATCTAAATTTAATTCCGAAAGAGAGAGGTGGTTTTTGCCGATCGCCATTCCGATTGGCGTCCATGTAAACACCCATTCGGATCTAAAGAGTAAAATAATCTTCACTGCGCATGTGTGCGACGTCAGCGTGACGTTTTTCCGCCTTGTCAACAACAGGAAACCACCGGTCGCTCTTGTTGTGAACAACATGGCGGGAGGAGTCTAGGAACGCCGACTTATACACTCAAGTTCATTTAAAGCTGCAGGAAGCAGGAATTTATCCTCCTCCTCTTCCTCTTTTCTCTCTCCACAGCCCACTCGCTCTCCCACGCCGGTTCAATCGCTCATTCTCTACATTTTCTCTCGGACATTTCGCTGCCAAGCGCTTTTTTCCTCCTCTCTCCGTTTTTCTTTCCGCTCGCTCCGAGCGCATCGTTTGTCAGGCCTCCCAAAAACCAGACGCAGACAGAACTGCCAAGTTTGGCAGGAAGTTCTGCGCATGCTTCAAAGATTTAATCTGATCCAACGCTTGGTACATGTATACACACGTCATGATCGGATCATTTCATTTAGTGTCCTTGTAAACGGAGATTTTGAATTTCCGATCAACCAAGGTTTGGATCGGATCGGGGAAATTTTGCGCATGTAAACGTAGCTAGTGTTTTTAATTCAAAGGGAGTTTTTCCTCTCCACTGTCGCTACAAGCATGCTTAGTGTGAGGGATTGCTGAAGAGTCAATGAGTCGATGCAATCAGCTGGTTTTCCTTAGATAGAAAACTTTGAATCAATCTGACTGGATGATCTGGTGAACTGGAAAGTGACCTGAGATGACATGATGTGAATTGGAGCTATAGAAATAGACTGAATAGAATGGAATTGAATTTAGTTTAGAAATAAATGTGACACCATATTAATTCCTCAACGCTGTGGCGCAAACCTTCCCACAGCACAACGGCCCCTCTACCGTGCAGCTCTGCCTCACCGGCTTTGGCCAGCATGGAAGCCAGCAGCTTGCAGACGATGGAGCCTCTCTTCCTCATCTTGCACTGCTTGCTGTAGGGAAAGTAGGGAATGACTCCGATGATGTTCTTCGCACAAGACGACTTCAAAGCGTAAGCCATCACCAGCAGCTCCATGACGGCCGTGTTGACGTCCCTGAAGCGTCGATGGAGACATTAAAAACAGATTGAATAAAATCTATTTTCCTTCTTTTAATAAAGGTTTAAAGGAACTGAGAAACATTCTGAGGCAAAGGCTGGTTCAGAAGATGTTTGTTTTTCTATTCAATGCTAAAAAAACATTATTTAAATGCTTAATATATGAAATATATCTCCACAGAAAAGCTGCACCTTCTTATAAACCTCGTGGTTCAAAGGGAGGGAAAAAAGCAGGGGTTTATAGTCAGGAAAATACGGTAGTATTATGTTTTTTGTCAGCCAATGACGCACTGAGTAGTTATAAAACCATCATAATTTTTATTGTTCTTTACAGGAGTTTAATCATCAGTTTGCCATCAGATGATCAGAGCTGGAATACCTTGGAATGGTCTGAATAATAAAGACGTCTTGTCCTCGGACAGATTCCTTCACTTCCACTTTCGTCTCTGCAGGGAGAGAAAGTTTCATAGCTGGTTCAGTTGTGAGTAGGGATGGGGATCATTAATATTTATTGATATCGATACCTTTATCGATACTCCTTATCGATCCGAGTCTTTATCGATACTTTTCTGATTATTTGGTGGAAAGACGATGCGACAAAATTTTTTTAACAGAACTGGTATTGCTTTTATTGCTTAACAAGTGAGCATAACAAAAAGGTTTCTAGCCTTCAATAAACGTGGCTAATGTAATAGGCCACTTCGAAATGACATAAAACTAACTAGAATATATTTTCACAATTGTTGGTTAATGTATTGTCTACTGTCACTTTTCATCATGTTTTTAGTGATTAGGAAAATATTTAACAAATAAATAATTGTATTTTAAATTAAATGTAATTTTTAATAAATGTTGGCATCAGTAGTTTCATTATATATAGAGCAATATACAACTGTATTACTCATGTTTCTCGCCAAAAATTAAATTTCCCGTTTTCTTTACGTTACACTTGAACGCATCATGATAACCTAATTGTCGTTTTACTGAGCCAATCTGAACACATCATCATGCAGCACGTCTGAAACTTTATTTACTTTTCAAGCTAACTAGCTTGTATGCTTCCGATTACAACACAGATTTCACAATTACTATTTTTAACTGACCGGACAAGCTACAAAGTCTGTGCGCGCGCTAACCAGTGGTACTCTGAGTGGATGATGAAGACGGGCCCGACTGCGGCGGCAGCAGCAGCCGGAGGAGGAGTCTTTTCCGTTCAGCCATCCTCGAGTCGCGAGCAAAGTTAACTGCCAGACTTCACTTGTTTTACTTTTAATATCTGTTTGCTTACAATTTCATTCCAAAACATTGGTGGACATGCTGCAGTGATTGGATTGATTAGATTTAAATGCTGTGACGCGACTCGAGGGACACACAATTATGTTACAGGACCTCCGGGAGGAAAAAAAAAAAACAACCAGACTCGATAGTGGTATCGATAAGCCCAAACGTTATTGATTTTCGGGTTTTGAAAAAAGTGGAACCGGGTCCTTGATGGAACCGGGTTTCGATCCCCATCCCTAGGTGTGAGACGCTCTGATTGGATCCCGGTTACCTGGACAGACCGCTAAACCGTACCTGAGTTTGACTCCTGATAAACGACCGACCTGCCCAGCTCCACACCCAGGCGCCTGGAAACAACAACACAGAAAATCCAAACTAGAATCAAACATTTCTGATGAAACGTGTGTAGAGCTGTAGGTTCCTTAAAGAAGATTTTCTACAAAATGAAAAAAATCAGGTGAAACTAAAACTTTTCCACCTGAAGAGTTCTGGATGCAGCAGATTGAAAGAAAAATAAATATGTATATATTTTATCTTAAATGCAAAATGTTTATAGATTTCTTTACAATCTTGATATAATTCCTGCTCTAAGTGTGTCGCTCTGTCAGCTAAAGGCGTGTTTTACAGCCTCTATACTCCAGTTAACGATTAATCAATTACTGAATTAGTTAAAGATTATTTCAATAATCAATTAATCACAATTAATTGATTCAGGTCTATAAGAGGGAATGGTGGCATGTAATGGATGGATGGATGGATGGATGGATGGACGAATGAATGGATGAATGAATGGATGGATGGATGGATGGACGGACGGACGAATGAATGGATGGACGGACGAATGAATGGACGGACGAATGAATGGATGAATGAATGGATGGACGGACGGACGAATGAATGGATGGACGGACGAATGGATGAATGACGGATGGATGGATGGATGGACGGACGAATGAATGGATGGACGGACGAACGGATGAATGGATGGACGGACAAACGGATGAATGGATGGACGGACGAACGGATGGATGGATGGACGAATGAATGGATGAATGAATGGACGGACGGACGAACGAATGAACGGACGGACAGACGGACGAATGAATGGATGGACGGACGAACGGATGGATGGATGGACAAATGAATGGATGAATGAATGGACGGATGAATGAATGAATGAATGGATGGACGGACGGACGAATGAATGGATGGACGGATGAATGGATGGATGGACGGACAGACGGACGAACGGATGGATAGACTGATGAATGGATGGATGGATGGAAACAAAAAAATATGATCAAAATATCCAGAAACTGATTAAAAAGCAATTTTGAAGTCCAAAGATATATATATATATATATATATATATATATTTTTTTTTTTTTTTTTTTTTTATTCTAAATGTTGAACTTCTGATGTTTCTCAGCAGCTCAGACCGACTGATCTCCCTCCAGTTGATTTTATCTAAAAAATGTTCCTGATAATTGCAGAGGATTCATAAACTGAAGCTCTGGTCTGTGAGGAATTATTTCCTCCATCTTTATAAAGACTTTATTTAGAACTCCTGGACTGTTTTTAAGGACAGGAATCAATGAACCAATGAGATGACGTCATGTTCATTTAGGGATTCTTCCTACAAATTCAACTTTATTCTTTTAATTAGTGATAAAAACTCATTAACTCTTTCCTGCCCATATTCTACAGCAGCCTTTAAATAAATATTTCAATAAACAAAAAGCTAAAAGTCAGTAATCAGACAGAATGAGGAAAACTAAACCCTTAATTCTGCATCTTTATCATCATTAATGTCATGAAATGATGAAGGATATTCCCACTCACTCTGTGATCTTGGTGGGCAGCTCGGTGCAGCCGGATGAGGAGTTTGCAGAAAACACGCGATAATTGCTCCTAGAGACGTTCATGGTGGAGAAACCAAAGGCCAGCGCGGGGCTCTGAGGGGGGGGACGCAGGGACCTGTGGCCCCCACAGCGCCTCATGGGCTTCTCTCTGTATCCGCTCAGAAAAAGGTGGAGGTTTCACCATAAAACCCCCCAAAATATCCCCATGTGGAAATAAGGACACCCACGCTGCGTGTCTGAAGCTAAACTAAACAACACAAAGGACACGTCACGTGGGAGAAACGGTTGAAAAAATACAAGGAAACAGAAAAAAACCCGCAATATTTTCAGTAAACTGAAGCCTGAGCTGCTTTATAAAGAAACTGGATTGAACCGGAATTACAGCAAATAGGTAAACAACAAAGTGCCGCTAATTCTGAAACGCGCTCAGCAGAGATAAGAGCAGAGCCGCATAGATCGCTTTATCCTCTGGGCGCTGACGCGATTTGGTGGCGCCATCTTGGGGCGGTCGACAGCTCCGCTCTGTAATGTGCTAAGGAGGCAAAATAATCTATTTATATAAACTTTAACTCACTGAATATTTAACTAATCCTCACGTTTTTTTTTTTTTTTTTTGTTTTTTTTTTGCTGAAAACAAAGAAGTGTTTCAGTTTATTTAAATATCCTTTCTGTGATTAAGAGTAATAGAATATTCTGATAGAATGGATGCTGTTGCAAAGTACAGCCAATCAGACATTTCTATATTTTTCCATTGCTATATACGCAAACAGAGAATCATTCTCAATCCTTTTATTGAGAATGATTCAAACGTTAATATTTACAAAGTCTACTTCTTCAGTTTTTATAACAGCAATTTGCATAAACTCCAGAATGTTCTAAAGAGTGATCAGCGTAACAGCAATTAATTGCAAAGTCAATATTTGCCTAGAAAATGAACACATTTCAATGTCATTGCAGCCCTGCCTTAAAGGAGCGGCTCACATGGTTTCAGTGATTGGTCCATTAACACAGGTGTGGGTGGTGATGAGGACAGGGCTGCAGATCAATCTGTCAGGATTCAGTCAGAATGACGTCACTGGACACTTTAAAAAGAGGCTGCTGCTCGGCATCATTGGTTCTCTGCTGTGAACCATGGTTATCTCTAAAGAAACACCTGCAGTCATCATTGCACTGCACAAAAATGTCCATCCATCCATTCAGCAAAGATCCTGCTACATGGCTCTACATCTGATTTTGGCATTTGACCAATTAGATGATAATGAATGATATATTATCTACTGGAAATAAAGGTGGAAAAAGTTAACAAGTGAAGAAAAAAAGGTAAAACTATTTGAAAAAAGTTAATAAACCTGGTTAGCGATTCTATTTAGGTTTATAAACTACAAAATGTGAGTGCCATTGTTAGCATTAATGCTGTACAAAATAAAATGTGTTTCTTTTTCTGTCAGAGAGTTTTTCATTAATTTCTTCTAGAAGCACTTTTGTTATTTTTCTTCATATATTCAGGCAGGTTAGCGTTTCTTGTTATTAAATCTAAATTCATTTTTGCCATCAAAATATCCAGATTTTTTAATATCACAAAGGTAATAAGGTTTTGTCCTGGATATTGGCTTCAATGAGGTCCCTATAAAGGACTGTTTCTTATTCTGTTATTTTTATACACTTTATATTTACTTTTCAACATTGTGTGACCACTTTTACTGTAATCTTTTGCTGCTGTAACAAAACAATTGACCCATTTTGGAACAATAAGGGGATATTTTATTGTATGTGTAGTATATATATATATATATATATATATATATATATATATATATATATATATATATATATATATATATATATATATATATATATATATATACACACACAAAGCCATACAGACAGTAATCTGCTGCACAGTGCTGAGGCTTCCTTCTCCTGTTCTGCTTAAACCAGCAGGTTTAGGGTAGCGGTCGACCTTCCCAAGATGGCGCCCCTAATTTCTGCGCTTCTGTTCTTTTGTGTATGTCTATGGCGCTCACACACAGATTAAAGAGAACATAAGCTCCACCCACAATCACGTTCATTGGATAAACCACACAGCTACCAAGGTTCAACCAATCAGGGAGCTCCTTCTCTGTCTCTTTGATTTACCCACTCTGAACCCATTTACTGCCATCTGGTGGAGGGGAGGAGGTCTTACACCGCTCCGCCAGTGATCAGGGTTGTTTATTATTGATTGATTGATAGCTGGAATATTATACAGGATTGTTATACTGTATATTATACAGCTTTTGATTGCTTGGTCATTTTTTAAATATTTTTTTTAATGTCAGATCCAGCCTGCTGCTCACTTATTTTTTTATTTAACCATTTCAGAGCTGTTTAAATCTCACCTCTGTGAGAAAAGTTGTCAAAATTTTTTATTGATCCAGACAGATCAGAGTCACCTAGAAATGCAATAATAGGATTAGACGAATGTGTTTCAATAATGTGTGAAAACAGCAGATGAATCAGAATGTTTAGAATGAGGACGTGTTTGCAGTGGTTATTAAATAAAATATATATATTGGTGAAAAGCTACCTTAATAAAAGAGCCAAATAATTTAGGGCAATTTGTGAAAAGAATGAATGGAGGCCTCAGAAGAACAGCTGAACGATGGAAAACTAAGAGGACTATAAACCAGCAGAAGTAACTTTGACATCTACCCACTTCTGTCCTGATGTTGCATTTTCTGTTAGTGTCCATCTCCATCACCTGCAGTATAAGCTCCGCCCCCTCCCTCCATCCAGGCTCCTTTTATTCTGGCTTCAATCAGCCTGAAGAACCTCTGGCTGAATTCTGCCTCTGCTTCTGTGACTCATCACTAAATTTGAACATTTCTTTGTAGAAGACGTGATTTTTCTTTGAAGTTTTGTTTTTCTTATTTAACTAGTTGAAAGCAGTGATCGATCATAGAGCAGCACAGTAATGCCTTTTCAGTTTATAATGCATGCACTTTCCTTTATGTATTTATCTTAATACGTTTATTAATATGATAAAAGGTTATTAATAAAATTGATATTAATAATAATAAAAAAAAAAAACAATGTTAGGTCTTGGTTCAGTTTGCAGCATTTTTTTGGCCCTCTGTGTATTTGACTTTGACATCCCTGACCTACAGTTTAATTTCTAGGTCACCAATTAAAAATCAGCGCGATTAAAGAAAATGATCAACCAGTAAAGGTTGATTCTAAAAAAGGTTCGTTCTAATCTGTTACTTTAAACAGAAATTAACACTGAAATAAAATGATTCGTTTATTGACTTTTTGAATAAAAAAAAATAGCTCTGAGCCATTCAGACGTGTGTTCTCCAAGACAGCAGCCTGTAACCCAGCAGATGAACCCAATGGGAGCCACTGGGATCCAGTGTTTTATCTGGTTAACAAAGTTCTGTTCCAGTCCATAGATGCAGCAGCTTATCTGTAACGTTTCAGCAGTGGTTTAGACTCTAGCAGCGATGTCCTCATCCAGTTTCAGTAGCGACGTTAGCAAACTGCTGACGTATAGCGAGGCGGGGTGAGCCGAACAGAGCTGGGATCAGATTCTGGGATCGTGGCTCACTCTTCCTCTGATCTTCTAGCTGTAGCGTCTTCCCTCCATGTTGGCAGATCCTCAGCCTGTCAGCACTTTCTCTTTCAGCAGGTTTAAAATGACCCGCCTCTCCTGGCTCTCCAGCTCAAACCGCTGCTCCCTCTCCTTTTTCTCCACTTCCAGCCGTTCTCTCTCCAGAGCGATTTTACCTGAAATGAAAAACGATTATAAAAATAAAAAGACTCTTCACTTTAAATTGAAGGAAGAGAAATGTTATATTTTTCTTTTTATAAGGCAGATATTTTAAGTCCGATGGTTGGTTTTTGGCCATGCAGATCCAATTATCTCTATTTATTCACTGGATCGCTGATTGCCTAAAAAAGTGAAGCCACCGTCCGCCATATTGGTACTCCCCACTCCCACAGAGACACTAGGGATGTAACGATATCAAAATCTCACGGTACGATATTTATTGCGATATTGTGGAAAAGCTCACGGTATTATTAAATAACTCAGGAGTGTTTGTGACGATAACAGCAAAAAAACTGACATTTCTTCTGCTTTTGCCAGTCAACAGGCAATTTATTGTTGTATTTATGGATCATTACAACATAAAACGCTGATCACATCGTGCTTTTAAAGTGCAAGTTGTCGTCAGGAACATCAATATTCTGTTGATTCTTCTGTGAATAATGTTCAAATTAAGAAGCAAACAATTGTAAACAATAGGGAAATCCCTTTAAGTGCAAACAAATATCGAGTTAAGTCAGGTTTTCCCGCTGATCGCGGCGGGTGGGGCTGCGGGGCGGGTGGGGGCCTGGGGTGGCTATGACCGGCGCGTGGTGGGGGGGCCGGGGCGGCGGAGCTGCTCTGGCCGCGTGTCGGGGCCTGGTGCGGGCTGCGGGGGGGGGGGGGGTGGCGGACGTGGCTGGGCTGCTTTGGCATCGTCCGGTGGGGGGGCGGCGCGGTTCGCTCCGCTCTGGCTTTGTGCTGCCCCTCGGGCTGCTGGGGGGGGTGGTTGCGCCGGCTGCGGTCTGCTCCTCTTGCGGTTTTGCGCCGGGCGGCTTTTCTGCTCTCGGGCTGATTCTGTGCGCGGTGTGTTTCGTTGCGCGCTGTTGGCATCGGTCTTGGTGGGGTGGGGCTGCGCTTTTGGCCGGGGGGGCGTTTTGGGGGGGGTCCCGCGGCGCTCGTGGCCGGTTCGCGGCGGATGCGCATGGGCCCCGGCCGGGGGCGGGGCCGCCTGAGTGTTTTCCTTGGTGGTGCGGTCGCGGTGGGTGTTGCGGCCGGTCGCCGGGGCTTGGTGCGGGGGGGCGGGGCGTGTTTCGGTGCTCTGTGGGGCTGGGGCGTTTCGGTCGGCGCCGTGGGGGGGCTGGTGTTCGGCGCCCGGCCCTACTTCGGGGTGGCCGGCTGCCGGCGGGGCCCGCGGACTCGTCCCCGCGGCTCCCCGGGGCGCCGGCATGGCGGTGGCTGGGGGGCTTCCTCGTGGCTGTCTCTCCTCCTGCCTTGGTGGGGTCTGATTTCCGGGGCTGGCCCCGCCTTGGTGCCTTCGCTTCTGGGGTCCCCTTGGGCGCCTGGGGCTTTGGGTCTCCCGGCGCTGGACTCAGTGCTCTGGGGGGTGTGCCTCTCCGGCTCTCCACAACCACTATTGAGCATTTTTTCTATGGTTAAAACTTTACATGCACAAGTTCACCCTCACAAACAACTACAGGTGCTAGGCTTCAGGTACTTAGAGATTCACTTCCAAACAGAAACCCCACATTCATATCTTCAGGTAACACAGAGTACATGTCAGACTTAATAATATTACTTTAGTGATAGTTTCAAGGTGTTTGCTTTATTGTATATCTCGTACCATGTTTTTTGGTTGTGCTGTTCTTTTTTTTTTTTTTCTCCATCTCATTGCAGGTGTTGAAGCAGACTGAAATGTTTTGTCATTGTCTCCTTCCTATCTCCTCTTTCTTTCATCTTTTGTCCTGTTTTTTTCTTTTTCCTTCTTCTTCTTCTTCTGTTTTTCTGCTCTACTTACATTGCAGTGTCCATATGAACTGTAAAACTCCCTGCATAATTATAATAAAGCAATTTATATACATGAAACAAGTGGAGCGGTATGGCAATTGCGATACCGCTACACTTGTGAAAGTAAAATCTGTTGGGCTCCTTTTGGCATCAAGACAATTATTCTTATTGCCACCTTGCCAGACAGGACACTGTAAAAAAAAAAAAAAAAAAAAAAAAAAAAAAAAAAGTCAGGTTTAAATGTGCAAGGCAAGTAAAAGCAGCCTTTTAAAACTGGTATTTAGGAACATAACTTAAATAAAATAGTCAAAAAGCCTTTTTTTAAAACACTGACCTATCAGTTAGCTTATGTTCACATTTTTCATCAGAAACATCAAAAGATCTACATTTCAAGAAGAAAAAAAATGCCTCCTTCAGGGTTTTTTGACCGGACCGGACATTCTTTGCAAACTTTTCTGGATGATGAGCCGTCAGATGACTTTGCATATTGCTTTTGTTTCCTGTGTTGTATCGCAGTTTACTGCGGGGGTGCTTGCATATAGTCCATTGTCTGTCCACTACCTTCTCTCCTTTTGCGTTTTTTGACACGGCGAAACCAAAATGTTTCCAGACATCTGACTGAAAAGCTGCGGGGGCGGGCACGATCTCAACTTCGGGGTTGTTGTTTTCATCCTTACAACTATCGCTGTCGGCCATGCGAGCTTGCTTTGAGCTTGTGAGGACAGCGTGCAATCCTATTGGCTGGTGGGGATGACAACGCAGCGCAAAGGATCATGGTCTATGTAGTTAAAGGAACAGTACACCCAAACATGATTAGCCTTCATTTTCTACTCACCCCCATGCTGAACAACACTCTGGAGTACTTTTTTGATATCTCAAATGCATCTGGAGATCTGGGAGGCTTCTTGCTGTCTGCTGACATTCAAATAATGGAGGTCTATGGCGCCCGAGGCAGAAAGGTCCATAAAAGTCCACAAAAAACGTGTCAATATTCCTCCATACTGCTCGTCCAATGCATTCCAAGTGTCCTGAGTGGGTAGCGTCCAGAATTTACTGGAAACGAAGTCATTTAGAATGTTTTTAGAGCATAAACAGTAGTGTATAGGATTTCCTAAAAGCGCGTTCAGGAGTCTACGGAAACCGCGGCAGACCAAACCAGATGAAAGTGCGCATTCAACGTCTGCTCTGCCGATAATGCAAGCGTAGAAGAAGAAATGTGCTGTTTACCTGTGCAAAGAAAGAAACAACGAAAGAAAAATGTCTGAGGACTTCAGTGTTGAGGAAGAGCATGAGTTCTTTGCCGAGCTGAATGCGCACTTTCATCTGGTTTGGTCTGCCGCGGTTTCCGTAGACTTGTGAACGCGCTTTTAGGAAATCCTATACACTACTGTTTATGCTCGGCATAAACAGTAGTGTATAGGATAGGATCCTATATCCTATAGGATAGGATATAGTATGGAGGAATATTGACACGTTTTTTGTGGACTTTTATGGACCTTTCTGCCTCGGGCGCCACAGACCTCCATTATTTGAATGTCAGCAGACAGCAAGAAGCCTCCCAGATCTCCAGATGCATTTGAGATATCAAAAAAGTACTCCAGAGTGTTGTTCAGCATGGGGGTGAGTAGAAAATGAAGGCTAATCATGTTTTGGGTGTACTATTCCTTTAATGTCATAATAAATATGCAATGTGATCGGCCTATTTTTTTATTCTAAGTTAATCTGCTGATGCTATGAAACAGCCAGTCTGTGTCAAAGTGATGAATTTATCTTTATTTTAAAAGTCTTAAGTCCTCTTGAAAATGAGATCATTATCAATGTTCCATCCTGTAGCTCACTGATTGTTTCCATTGCGACCGGTCTAACTAGGGAGTTAAAAATTTAAGACCAAATTCACAAGAAAAACCTGCTTGCATCAACTTAACCCAAAGGTTTATTTTAGCATAAACCACTGCACTAATGTTTCAAATGTTGAAAAGCTTCCCATACAGGAAGAAAGCTAAAAACACACAAATGACAGATATATTTGAACAATTATTTAACTGAATTCACAAACTTTGTTTTAGCAGGGAACAAAACAAATCAGTTTTAAAGCCCCAACATAACCAGTGCTAAGTCTTTTTGCAGCTATTTTTCTTTGTATGGTTTTCTTAGTATGTTTGATTTGGTGATAAGTGGAGGCGTTGCAGAGACAAGGGTGGAACTAAACTGAGAAATACCGGCTGTTTCTCTGTAACTCCATTTTGACGCTTTGTGTTTCGTGCTTCGCATGTGCGACTCCACTGCCTTAATTCTAGGGGTGTAAATAATAATCGTTTTGTATCGGTGCATCGATCCAACAGCCGACGATCCGATGCATCGATACGTCCGCAAGAGAATCGATTCATGTTTTTTTTCTCCTCCGGTCTATTTTTATCTATTTGATCCTGGGCGTAATTCTCCCTCCCGTGCTGCGGTGGCGCTAACCTATTTTGCCCTCCTACCTCGCTTCCTGGTTATACTCTTACAGCAGTGTGTTGCAGTGAGCTTGATGCAGACATTTTTGATTTATGCTCAATATTGAAGCATGGTCTGTGCTACACGCTGTGGGTCTAGATACGGCCGAGGCGGCGAGGAAGTGGGTGCGAGTTTAGTCCGACGACGGAGGGACATGAGGGCCAAAAAGAGCGGAGATCCAGGTGGAAAAAGGGTCCCAGCGTTCTCGCGCACCTCGCTCTTCTAGCGGGTCAAACTTCACGAGTTGTTTTCCGCAATTTCGGTCATAAAAACAAAACAAGCCGGCATCCTGTCTGCGGTCAGCTACAATCTGGGGGAGGTGCAGCGGAGCGTCTGTGGAGGGGGCGGGGCGTCTGGAGCCGAAGTATTGCATTGCACTCATTGCACTGATTTTCTGCAGTATTTTTTGATGCAACTTTTCTACTTCTGTTATTTGCTGTTGTTTCTAAAAAAAATGCATAATGATATTACAGCTTTCATTGATTTATTTCAAACGTGAAACTTTGTTTAGCCTGTAAGGTGTAAAAAAAAAAAAAAAAAATTATTAATCGAATCGAATCGTGGTGTATTCTTGAGTATCGAAAATAATCGAATCGTTGGGTCAGGAAATCGATACTGAATCGAATCGCCATGATGGATGTGATTTACACCCCTACTTAATTCCCATCGTTCTGAGCTTGAATGACTTCTTGCATAAATCCACTGAGCCTCATGTATGTTCCCTGGTTTTAGCCATGGAGGAAACTCTTGGCTGGAGACAATTTTGGTTACATTTACACTTGCTCAGATTTTCCAGACAAAAAAATAATGGAGCATCTCCCAAATGTCCCGGCAGCAACAACGCTTTATTGGTTCCGCTATCGGGACGGAACCAATAATGGCGAGCCGTTTTTTTTTTTTTTTTATAAACAAAAAGGTCAATTTTAATGTTTTATTTAGATTACAAAAATAAATCATACTAAAAATAATCATATTTATGATGTTTTAAAAATTAAGACCTACGAAAGACTGATTGAAGACATTTTAATACCAATTAAGGCCTTAGTTACAGAAGAGGATTAGGGCCACTGAAAAAAAAAATGTCAACTGATTTTTTTTTTTATTTTATTTCAGTATAGTATGGGAAAAAAGTCAGATTTCTGACTTTTTTTATTGTCAGAATTCAGTCAGAATTCTGAGTATTAGAATTCCCATACTAAACTGAAAAAAATTTTTAAAAGTCAGTTAACCTTTTTTTTTTTTCAGTGGCCCTAATCCTCTTCCGTACTTAGTTTTATTTTGAAGAATTCAATGCCTTTTAAGACTTTTTAAGGACCTGCGGGAACCCTGTGTGAGAACAAACATTGTGAGCTGTGAACTTTTAAATCCTGCAATTTCATGGTACAGTTTTAGCTGTAGCTGCATGCAATGATCGCACAGTGTAAGCCCGGCTTTACGTGAATGGAGAGCTAGATTCAACGTAAGAAATCCTACTCTTCTGAATGTCCAACTCCTGTCGGCGGAAGGACAGCTCCTCCTCCCGGAGCCGCTGCTCGGCCTCTGAGCGTTTCTCCAGGAAGCTCAGAATCCCAGCGTAGGTCTTGAAGCAGCAGTGGCAGGGCCGCTTGGCTGCAGGCGCCGCTGGAAGCTCTGCCGCGGGCGCACGTTCATCCTCTGCTTCTGCAGCGACTAGAAAAGAACTTTAAAATGTGAAGGAACGTATTTGGGAAGGGAGGAGTTTAATTCACACACACTACCGTTCAAAAGTTTGGGGTCACATTGAAATGTCCTTATTTTTGAAGGAAAAGCTCTGTACTTTTTAAACTAGTCTTAACTTAAAGAAATACACTCTATACATTGCTAATGTGGTAAATGACTATTCTAGCTGCAAATGTCTGGTTTTTGGTGCAATATCTACATAGGTGTATAGAGGCCCATTTCCAGCAACTATCGCTCCAGTGTTCTAATGGTACGATGTGTTTGCTCATTGGCTCAGAAGGCTAATTGATTATTAGAAAACCCTTGTGCAATCATGTTCACACATCTGAAAACAGTTTAGCTCGTTACAGAAGCTACAGAACTGACCTTCCTTTGAGCAGATTGAGTTTCTGGAGCATCACATTTGTGGGGTCAATTAAATGCTCAAAATGGCCAGAAAAAGAGAACTTTCATCTGAAACTCGACAGTCTATTCTTCTTCTTAGAAATGAAGGCTATTCCATGCGAGAAATTGCTAAGAAATTGAAGATTTCCTACAACGGTGTGTAGTACTCCCTTCAGAGGACAGCACAAACAGGCTCTAACCTAGGGCTGGGCGATATAGAAAAAAAGCTTATCGATAAAAAAAAATGCATATTGATCGATATCGATAATTATTGAAAAGATTTGAAACCATATTTTATGTGCAGCTCTGCCTGGACTTTTTATAATATTGCTAAATGATTTAATTTTAATAAAAAAACACAAACACAGACTTCGAATTAAATCTTTATTTAACCAACTTTTTTAACCATAACAGAATTGTTTTAAAGAAAAATAACTTAAGAGACCTGAGTTATGTTATTAAATACTGACAAAGAATAAACTAAAGTGACCAGAAAAGTGACCAAAATAAATATAACAAATAAATAAATGCCCCCCCACTGCCGCCGCCGTTTCCTGCTTTAACCTGAGTTATTACTTTGAAGTTTCTGGCCCCTCAGCATTTTTATCTCAATTGTTAGAACTACGTGGGAAACTGCCCAGAACTGAAAATATATATATATTTTCCGAAGATTCCTCGGAGGAGAGCCGCGCCGGGGCCTACACAGCTCGTACTCCTGCGGCTGTGAGCGGCTGAGATGATAAAAAAAAAAAAAAAAAAGTTGGTTTCGTTATCAGACTGGTTTTCACTGGTTCCCGACACATTTTCCAGATGACTGTGGTTTGTTTTTGGTCCGACTTGCCATGACCGAAATACTGCCAGACTGCCGAACTACAAAAACCCTTCTTTGGAACAATTTCCTCCGCCTCTCCTTGCTGCGACATCTTCATGTGCTCTGTGTTGTGGTTTGAGAGGGCGGCGCTTGGTGACGACGTGCCTGGGTCCGCGATTGTCATTGGTTGGGAGGAAGCAGTGACTAGCATAAACCTACATGCTAGGCTACAATGAGAAGGAAGGAAAACTGCATTTCTTTTTTATCGAACTTTTATCGACCCTGTTTTTTTCTATTGCGCCACACGTCTATCGATCGATATATATCGTTATTGAATTATCGCCCAGCCCTACTCTAACCAGAGTAGAAAAAGAAGTGGGAGGCCGCGTTGCACAACTGAGCAAGAAGATAAGTACATTAGAGTCTCTAGTTTGAGAAACAGACGCCTCACAGGTCCCCAACTGGCATCTTCATTAAATAGTACCCGCAGAACACCAGTGTCAACATCTAGAGTGAAGAGGCGGCTGCAGGATTCTGGGCTTCAGGGCTGAGAGGCAAAGAAAAAGCCAAATCTGAGACTGGCCAATAAAAGAAAAAGATTACCGTATTTTCACGACTATAAGGCGCACTTAAACGTCTTTTTTTTCCCTCAAAATGTGCGGTGCGCCCTATGGTGCGGTGCGCCTTATGTGTGTTGTAACTGCGACTTTTGAGACCACCTCATTGAGGAGATGATGAAAGAGTGGCTGAATGTAAGGAGACCAGGTGTTTTTTTTTTTCCACCCCTCACCATCGCTGTTAATATGTAACTCCATGTGTGCCCATCTCACAGCTGATGTGAAAAACATGGGGAAACAAATTAACGCTGTGCTCGCTGTTCAACCGCTCGACATCGGTGTGAACCGGACCCAGCAGGTGCAGCAGAAGCAGCGAGTTTACATGCAAAGTCAATGGTTGACGCGCGTATAGGTGCAGCAAAAGGTCCTGCAGCGCGTTTTGAGCCGCAGGTGCAGCGCCTCGGGAGCCTTTAAGTATCTGACGCACCGCCAACGCGCTGCTGCTGCTCGAGATGGAAAAATAGAAGTTTTGCTGCTGGACGCGCCGCATCAACCAATCAGAGAAGCTGATCTGGGAGCTGACAGCGAGACAGACACATCGCTCTGATGACATATGATATTAACACAAATGAAAAGGCTGGGTGGATGCGTGGCTGAGACAGGTGTATGTGAGGAGACCAGGTGGTTTTTTCCACGCATCACCATCGCTGCGTGCCCATCTCACAGCCGATGTGAAAAAAAGGTGAATCAAATGAACGCTGTGCTCGCCGTTATCCCGGGGGTCTGACAAAGGAGCTTCAACCGCTCGACATCGGTGTGGAGCAGCCGTTCACAGTAAGGCTGCGAGCGGCGTGGGTGCGATGGATGACAGACGGAGACCACAGTTTCAGGATAAATGGAAGGCAGCGCCGGGCAAGTTACGCCACCGTTTGCGGATGGATTGTAGATGGACTAACGTGTCTGCTGGCTCTGTTGTTCAAGCTTTCGCAAAAGCCGGCATTATTTCTGAGGAGCTGCGCTGCACGGAAAGTGACTGACAGCGAAGAAGGGGAAACTGGCATGTCTGATTTAGCGCAGCTGTTTTATTCAGAGGAATGCTGAGGATAACAGAGGATGATGACTTTGATGGGTTTGATTAATACTTTGTAATAAATACATGAATAAAGCACAATCATACTCAGTTTTGCCCCCGCTGTATTTTTAAATACGCAGTAGAGGTATTTAAAGGTAGTAGAGGACATGTACCTGTATATAAAAAACGCGCCCTATAGTCCGGTGCGCCTTATGTGTGTGTTAAATACAGAAATGGCACACATAACTGAGAGTGCGCCTTTTAGTCCGGTGCGCCTTATGGTCGTGAAAATACGGTAAGAGGGGCAAAAGAACACAGACATTGGACAGAGGAAGACTGGAAAAAAGTGTTGTGGACGGATGAATCCAAGTCTGAGGTGTTTGGATCACAAAGAAGAACGTTTGTGAGACGCAGAACGAATGAAAAGATGCTGGAAGAATGCCTGACGCCATCTGTTAAGCACGGTGGAGGTAATGTGATGCTCTGGGGTTGCTTTGGTGCTGGTAAGGTGGGAGATTTGTACAGGGTAAAAGGGACTCTGAATAAGGAAGGCTATCACTCCATTTTGCAACGCCATGCCATACCCAGTGGACAGCGCTTGATTGGAGCCAATTTCATCCTACAACAGGACAATGACCCTACACACACCTCCAAATTGTGCAGAACTATTTAGAGCAGAAGCAGGCAGCTGGTATTCTATGGGTAATGGAGTGGCCAGCGCAGTCACCAGATCTGAACCCTATTGAGCTGCTGTGGGAGCAGCTTGACCGTATGGGACGCAGGAAGTGCCCATCCAACCAATCCAACTGGTGGGAGGAGCTTCTGGAAGCGTGGGGGGGAATTTCTCCAGATTACCTCAACAAATTAACAGCTAGAATGCCAAAGGTCTGCAATGCTGGAATTGCTGCAAATGGAGGATTCTTTGACCAAAGCAAAGTTTGATGTAAAAAAAATTCTTATTTCAAACACAAATCATTATTTCTAACCTTGTCAATGTCTTCACTCTATTTTCTATTCATTTCCCAGCGTACGGTGGTGAATAAGTGGGACTTTTCAGGAAAACACTAAATTGTTTAGGTGACCCCAAACTTTTGAACGGTAGTTTATGCAAGAAAAAATTAATTTTTTAAATGTACCTAATAAAGATGATGTATTAACATCCATACCACCAGCAGGTGGCAGCGTTGTGATGTCAGGTTTTTCTGGTTCAGACCAAGCTAGCTCCTCACTGATTTGATCCCTTCGCTCTTCAGGCTGAAGGTGACAGAATCACATTTCAATTAGATTCTTTTCAGTTTATTAAAACATTCAAACATGAGCTCTGCATATGAAGGATATGATCAAAAGTTATCCAAGAAAATGACCATGAATTAAAGGACAATTGTCTCTGGGTGAACGATTTAGCTGATATAAGAATGATTAAACCTTGTTTAAAGGAGAAGTCGCTCATATTCAGATCTATAACATGTAATTAACTCTACATGGAAAGGCACCAAACGTTAGCAGCCCAGGCAGTTCAGAACATAACACTTTTGTTTACTGTGGAGAAGCAATGCAAATAACCTTATTATTATCACTAAAAATAGTCTAAGTGATTCTTACTTGGTGCTTTGGACCGTCACCATTGACTGGAGGGCTTTTCTCAGCCTCCAGCTCCATCACCTGACGAAGCAAATCCTCCTTCTTGGCGTACAACCGCTCTGTCCCAAACCTGTTAAAGTAAATCATGTTGGACATGTTGAAGAAAAGCTACTTCTAACAATGGCGGATATTAACGTGTAAAAATATTCCTGAGGTATTTCCAAAAAAGTTCAAAAACAATCCACTGGACTTTGTTTCCAAGTTTGAAGACGTTTCTCTTCCATCCAGGAAGATTTTTCAATTCTAAATGTCAGAAATAGCGTTTAGTTCCAGGTTTTATCCAGCGGACCAAAAACAAAGTCTGCTTTTCTTGGTCCACATTTAGCAGTGGTGATTAAACCAGCGAGTTAGAAAACCACTAAGACTCTGACTGCTTCATATTCGTCCTTCTTAAAGGATAAAATCTCCATCGCAAAGGTGAATAAATATCGACTCGCTATGTAAAACGACTCCTTCCTGACTAAACTGATGTCTCAGCGCCTCAGTGGGTCACGTGACCGAATGAGGAATTTAGCGTCGTCTGCCATCTTAGTGAATTATTTTATGCTATAAGCAACAAAATGCTGCACATTTTTTCCAGTTCTGATGTTTTAATTTTGCACAAACTATCAAATTAGACACTATAAGTATTTGTTTTCTATTTAAACTTTAAAGCAAATGAACCAAGCACCTCAAAGCATAATGTCATCCGTCATCTTTTCAGGTAGAAAAATTGAAATTTAAAGTCGTAGGGAAACTGTTGTTCCAACCATCAGCCCGTCTGCAGCGCCCGGGGCTACCGTTAGCCCGTCTATAGCGGCCCTCTCTCTGCATAGCGGTGTGTGGACCGCTGGTTCTGACGACCATTTTTGGTTTTATTTGGCAAAATGTTCATTTGATCTGTGTTTATCTGATTGTGTTCATTATTATTCCTCCACTAAAGGAAAAAAGTCATAATTCAGTATCATCTAGAGACTATTTATAACAGGAGGTGAAATGCAGCTCCAGACAAGCTGAGCGTGTGGTGATGTCATCAGTTCTGTTCCAGATGATCCAGATTTATGCTGCGTGCTCCCGTTCTCCCAAATTCCAGACTTTTCTGGGTTCTTCTCAATAACATACTTGATTCTTACTCTGATTTCAACCGTTGCGTATATTAGCTGCGACATATGAATCAAGATGCTTTGACTGAAAACATTTGATTGACAGATGACCGTTGATATATGATTGGCTGAATTTAGGTGTTCAGGCTGACGTAGAACTAACTGGCCTGCAGAAGAGAACGGAAAGAAAACACAGATTTTAAGACAGGATTTTTCTAAAATAGAAAATTTCTAACTTTTGGGACAATATAGTCCTATAAAGAGAACATTTATATACATGTTTAAGCCAGAATGATTTGACATTTAAATATGATTTCCCTACGACTTTAAAGTTGCTTCTTTCTTTTATCTAAGGTGAAATAACAACTTAGTTTTCTTTTTATTAAAAAAGGGAAAAACTTTTGGTTTGGCAGCAGATGTTTTCCAAAGTAAACAGTCAACAATAAAAGAGCGAAACAATAAAGCACATATTTAAGTTCACATGTTTTTTATACACTGAAACCTTCAGCAGATCGAAGCCTTACTGGAAATATAAACCCACCAACCTGCGCAGACTGGAAAAATCTTGTTTCTTGTAATAGTCGAGCAGCAGCATGGTCCTCTCCCTACACGTCTTGCCGTCTACCTCGAAGTCCCCCTGGAGGGCGTCAGTGACCATCTCCCCCACAAAGTCCCACATGCGGCCTGACAGTGAGGATGACGGCGCATTTAATCACACGAATCATACATGGGCTCGTCTTTGATACACGTCGGTGTTTTCTAATGATCTGTGCCTTTAAAGGAAATAAAAAAAACACACCTTGCTCTTTGGAAGCGAAGGGGTTCAGGTTGACAACCTCTCCCAGAAGGACGATGTCCTGCTTTGTGGAAAACAGCACCAAACGTTTCCGTGGTGCTATGAAAGGGAAAAGACGGAGTTTAGGAGAAGCAGTTAGAAGAAAAGTCTGTTGCTTGGTGAGAAAAGGTCTGAAAAACAGGAACTTATTTCTGCTTTTTGTTTCTAGTGTTGCATTAGTGCCACATTAGTGCCACCCCACCCACCCACAAACATTCTGATGTCCAATCATACCGTCTTTTCAGGAGATATTAGAATGACGGTGCTCTGTCAGATGAGCATACCTGCTTAGACCAACAAACCCAGAGTAAACACATGTTTATCCATTTAGTTTAAACATTAAACTACCTCAACCAACGTGTGTCCCTTTAGTCATGTACAAAAACACAATTTAATTACTTTTTGGTGTTTTTTTTTTTTAAGCGTATAGCTATCCAACTTTAAAATTTGTTTCGTACATGACTAAAGGGATACACACTGATTGAGATACTTTAAAGTCTATTTTTCGTCCAAAACTAAAGACATTAACGCAGATCTGACGTCTTGCGCAGGCATATTGACTATAGGTATGCTGATCTGACAGAACAGCGGCCTGCACGGTGGAGCAGTGGTTAGCGCAGTTGTCTGCGTGTTCTCCCTGAGCATGTGTGGGTTCTCTCCGGGTACTCCGGCTTCCTCCCACAGTCCAAAAACACGACTGTTAGGTTAATTGGCTTCTCTAAATTCTCCTTAGGTGTGAGTGTGAATGGTTGTTTGTCCTCTTTGTCTCTGTGTTGCCCTGTGATGGACTGGAGACCTGTCCAGGATGGACCCCTAACCCTGACAAGGACTAAGCGGGAGCAGATGGATGCTAGAAGGACCAGGAGAATAACAACTACAGAAGCAGCAAAAACATCTTGGATGCAGGGGCGGATTTAGGAAATTTTAGGCCCTAGGCAAAGACAGGCAGGGGGCCCTCTGACTGGAGAAGACATCAAACAGCCCCATTCTCCAGATAGAGAAATGTTAATAGAATAGACATCCATTATCTGTTCTAGGTTGTGTCCCTCTCTTCTTGTCCCTTTTCTTCTTGCTTTCCTCTCTATGTTTTGTACTCAGCTGACTTTTCATGCTGTCTCTAAAGGAATGAAAGATTTTTTCCAAGCACTAAGCTCACTTAGCTGATTGCTCCTTCCTGTGTTTCCAAAAAGGCCAAAGTAAATAACCCAGTCCTTCTTTTCACTGTAGACAAGCCATGATCTGCTTATCTGTTCTCCATTTTTCATTTGGATGAAATAATAGCTGCATGAATCATGACAGCAGACAAGATAGAGGAGAGCAGGAGGCGGGGTTACCAATCTACTCGCTCTGGAGAGCAGAGTTCGCTGCTTTTAGATGTTGTCTCCAAAGTCTCCAGTAGCAGAAAAAAGTCTCTAGATTTGGCGCTAGGAGCTTTTTAGAAATCAAAGTGCTAGAGGGGTCTGAAAAGTGGCTAAATATAGCGACTAAAGCGCTAAGTTGGCAACACTGCTCTTTGCATGGTTTGTTTTCAAATGGTTTGCTGCTGTCTGTTTGGACCTTTCTGAACATGTGCAGCAAATGGACTGATCCAATGTGGTGGACATATTAAAGCATGCTTAGTGTGAGGGATTGCTGAAGAGTCAATGAGTCGATGCAATCAGCTGGTTTTCCTTAGATAGAAAACTTTGAATCAATCTGACTGGATGATCTGGTTGAACTGGAAAGTGACCTGAGATGACGTGATGTGAATTGGAGCTATAGAAATACACTGAATAGAATTGAAGTCAGTTAGAGACTGGAGCTTACTGGAGAAGCAGTTAATTTTAAATAAAACAATAACCAAACAATCAAAACTTGTATAATAATAAACAGTATAATAATTCTGCTACAAAACAAAATAAAAAAGCTGTCATCTGTGGACGGACTTCATTTACTGTATTTATCCCATACACCTTTTTCTTCCTTTGACAGTGTCTTCTTCTGATGTAACGAGTACATTTCTCCACTATCAGATCAATAAAGTCAACCAATCAATCAAAGCATAAATCAGACTCATTGGTGAGAATGGCCTAGTCAAAGTCCAGCACCAATTTCTCCAGCTGAGAATTTGTGGCACAGCTTAGATTAGATTAACTTTATTGATGTCACATCGGAGAAATTCACTGGTCACATATTGGCATAGAAGTTAAAGAAGGTGCAAACAGGGAGGAAAAAGGTGCATTAAGAATAAACAATATATATATACAGTATATCAAGATGAAACGATACGTTTCCAGAAAGCCTCCATCTGTTTGAAATGAGACAACTGAGCCCAGCTTTCATTCTCTACCAGTGAAAAGACGGCAGTGAAACACCCAAACAGACCCAAACAGACACAGAAAAGATATTTTTCTGCATTTACTTCTGGGGGCCGAAAGCACATTTTTAGATTGATAATGAATGAAAATGGTAATTATTTTATTTCGTAAGTAATTCCAACATACCGGTAAGAAATATAAGTCAGATGGGACTCCAGTCTAAAAAGTTTGGATTTCCTCCCTTTCCTCTGACGTCATAACTTAGTGTCACATTAGTAGTGAAAGAAACGAGGAAGCTGTTGGCCTCAAATAGCAGCTTTGCCAGCAGGATGCAACCAGTAGCAATGCCTGCGGCCATTTCTCTGAGCGTCAGAGGAGGAGGAGCCTGCAGTGCAGCACAGTCGACCTCCAGAAGCGCTTCAGGTGTGAAACTCCCTAAAAATCTCACCCTCGCTGATCGTGTCATCCACCAGCAGCTGATCCATGTTTGCGTTTTTCACATCAGGGAAGTGTGAGCAAACTTAGCAAAGGTCTTCTTTTAACTTGTGATGGCAGCTTAGGGCCACCAGGGGGAGCCAAAGTGCAAAGAGAGACTCTGGAGTCAAGCACCAAGATATCTGCTGCTCAGAGCAGGAATGACTACAGCAGTTAGGAGGACTAGAATGGAAACATATACATATACATACATATATATATATATATATATATATATATATATATATATATATATATATATATATATATATATATATACATACATATATATATACATATATAAATATATATACATACATATATATATACATATATAAATATATATACATACATATATATACATATATATATATATATATATATATATATATATATATATATATATATATATATATATATATACATATATACACTATATTGCCAAAAGTATTTGCTCACCCATCCAAATTATTGGAATCAGGTGTTCCAATCACTTCCATGGCCACAGGTGTATAAATTCAAGCACCTAGGCATGCAGACTGTTTTTACAAACATTTGTGAAAGAATGGGTCGCTCTCAGGAGCTCAGTGAATTCCAGCGTGGAACTGTGATAGGATGCCACCTGTGCAACAAATCCAGTCGTGAAATTTCCTCGCTCCTAAATATTCCACAGTCAACTGTCAGCTGTATTATAAGAAAATGGAAGTGTTTGGGAACGACAGCAACTCAGCCACGAAGTGGTAGGCCACGTAAACTGACGGAGCGGGGTCAGCGGATGCTGACGCGCATAGTGCGAAGAGGTCGCCAACTTTCTGCAGAGTCAATCACTACAGACCTCCAAACTTCATGTGGCCTTCAGATTAGCTCAAGAACAGTGCGCAGAGAGCTTCATGGAATGGGTTTCCATGGTCGAGCAGCTGCATCCAAGCCATACATCACCAAGTGCAATGCAAAGCGTCGGATGCGGTGGTGTAAAGCACGCCGCCACTGGACTCTAGAGCAGTGGAGACGCGTTCTCTGGAGTGACGAATCGCGCTTCTCCATCTGGCAATCTGATGGACGGGTCTGGGTTTGGCGGTTGCTAGGAGAACGGTACTTGTCTGACTGCATTGTGCCAAGTGTAAAGTTTGGTGGAGGGGGGATTATGGTGTGGGGTTGTTTTTCAGGAGCTGGGCTTGGCCCCTTAGTTCCAGTGAAAGGAACTCTGAATGCTTCAGCATACCAAGACATTTTGGACAATTCCATGCTCCCAACTTTGTGGGAACAGTTTGGAGCTGGCCCCTTCCTCTTCCAACATGACTGTGCACCAGTGCACAAAGCAAGGTCCATAAAGACATGGATGACAGAGTCTGGTGTGGATGAACTTGACTGGCCTGCACAGAGTCCTGACCTCAACCCGATAGAACACCTTTGGGATGAATTAGAGCGGAGACTGAGAGCCAGGCCTTCTCGTCCAACATCAGTGTGCGACCTCACAAATGCGCTTCTGGAAGAATGGTCAAAAATTCCCATAAACACACTCCTAAACCTTGTGGACAGCCTTCCCAGAAGAGTTGAAGCTGTTCTAGCTGCAAAGGGTGGACCGACGTCATATTGAACCCTATGGATTAGGAACGGGATGTCACTTAAGCTCATATGTGAGTCAAGGCAGGTGAGCAAATACTTTTGGCAATATAGTGTATATACACATACATATACATATATACAAATATATACATAAATACATATACATATATATACATATATACATATACACAAATATATACATAAATACATATATGTATATATATATATATATATATATATATATATATATATATATGTATATATATATGTATATATATATATATATATATGTATATATATATATATATATACATACATATATATATATATATATACATACATATATATATACATATATACATACATATATATATACATATACATATATATATATATATATATATATATATATATATATGTATATATATATATATATATATATATATGTATATATATATATATATGTATATATATATATATATATATATATATATATATGTATATATATATATATATATATATATATAGCTTCACTTTAGAAAGAGAAGGGAGACATCAACCAATTTGTCAAATGAAAAAGGAATGAGATAATAACTAATTCCTAATAGATGCTGGCTCTTTCAGTTTAAAAGCACAGCTACTTCCTGTATTATAGAGTTAAAATATGATCAACCTTTAAATCTAATAGAGAAAAATAATAAAAAGATTCAATTTGACAGACTTTATAATCTCAGCAGATTTGGGATTTTAATCCTGATCAAATAAAGTTAGTGAAGCATAAATAAAGTGTAGAGGCTACTCACCATCCTGTCTGATGCAGGGGGTCTCATCCTCTCCCTCATCTGCTGATGTTGTTGTCTCATCATCATCATCGTCATCGTCATCCTCTAAAAATGGAAATGAAAAGGTTTACAGTATAGATCTGTTTAGTTTGCCTGTATCTCCAGTGTGGATTGTTAGATTTCGGCTCATGGTGATAAAGCAGCTGCTATTTATTCCCCAGATGTTCTATAGAAATGAAGGAAGGATGTTTCCAGAACCTACCACGTGCTGCAGAATTCCGACCACAGGTCTGCAGAGGAACTGCAGGCCTCTGCGGTGCAGGACAACCTAAAACTTCATCCATGGCTTTGAAGAACATCCATGTTATTCCTACTTTCTCTGAATTGTTCTTCTTCACCTCAGCAATCCTCTTATACAAAGATCTGAGTTTGTTTATCTTCTCTCGACACTGTTTCGCGCCTCGGTTGTAGCCCCTAAACGCCATCTCCTCAGAAATTTAAAGATAAGTTTCCTTATTATGTCTTGATGTGTTCAGCATCACCTGGATCTCGTCATCCGCCCATATTTCAATCAGAACCTTGGTCTCTGCGTCAGTCCAGATCGCACCAGTTGCACCTGAAGACATTTTACTAATTTCTTGTGTCCTTTTCTGGCCTGATCCTGGATCCTTCCTTCCCTGAGCAAAGCGGACCTCTGCTCTCCAACCTGGACCCACAGAGAATGCTTTTATAGACTATGGACCAGAAAGCTCTTTGCTACAGCTGAACAAAAAAAATAAAAAATACCAAGACACCTTCAGAACCGGCCCGCCTGGATCTGAACAGAGCAACTTCAGAGAAAAGCCCCCAGTGGAGGACTTTATACAAGCCTCCATGAAAAAACCAACTGCTGATCTCTAATGGACGATCTTACACGGCGCCATCACCACAAACTGGTTTTTATCGGTTATTAATCGGGGTGTTTTAAACCAGTGTCCTTTCTGCAGTCAGTCTAAAAAACGTGTTCCATGTTTTTATGGAACGCACAAGACTTAATACCATTTTTAGCCTTTTAATTACTGTTTTTAGGAGTTTTTTTTTTTTTTTTTTTTTTACAAATGCTCTTTTTATAGAATGAGTTTGCCAGAATAGGAAAAATAACCCAAAGGCCCGACTTTTAAATGCTTTAATGAGTGAAGCAAAGATGGCCGTTTATTGTCCCGCAGTAACGGACTGCAGGAGGGAGCTCACCTTGAAGCCGTGCCTCTGAGGAGGTTAAAGCCAGAATAAGGCTGGAGTTTAACTTCCAGAGACACAGAACATGGAGGATTTATGCAGCTGTGGGGTTTTAACAACATTTTATCTACTGATGAAGAAGAACTACAATTTAACGAGCTCCTCGTTTAATGAGTTTTAGCTGACACTCGTTTTACATCAATATTTTATATGTTTTGAATTGTGTAAATAAAGTGTTGTTAAAACTCAAAAAGTCCATTTGCTGCACATGTTCAGAAAGGTCCAAACAGACAGCAGCAAACCATTTGAAAACAAACCATGCAAAGAGCAGTGTTGCCAACTTAGCGCTTTAGTCGCTATATTTAGCCACTTTTCAGACCCCTCTAGCACTTTGATTTCTAAAAAGCTCCTAGCGCCAAATCTAGAGACTTTTTTCTGCTACTGGAGACTTTGGAGACAACATCTAAAAGCAGCGAACTCTGCTCTCCAGAGCGAGTAGATTGGTAACCCCGCCTCCTGCTCTCCTCTATCTTGTCTGCTGTCATGATTCATGCAGCTATTATTTCATCCAAATGAAAAATGGAGAACAGATAAGCAGATCATGGCTTGTCTACAGTGAAAAGAAGGACTGGGTTATTTACTTTGGCCTTTTTGGAAACACAGGAAGGAGCAATCAGCTAAGTGAGCTTAGTGCTTGGAAAAAATCTTTCATTCCTTTAGAGACAGCATGAAAAGTCAGCTGAGTACAAAACATAGAGAGGAAAACAAGAAGAAAAGGGACAAGAAGAGAGGGACACAACCTAGAACAGATAATGGATGTCTATTCTATTAACATTTCTCTATCTGGAGAATGGGGCTGTTCTATGTGTTGTCTTCTCTATTCAGAGGGGCCCCTGCCTGTCTCTGCCTAGGGCCCCACACTCTGACTTTCTCCCTTGGATTAAACATTTTTTTTCCAGTGGCCCTCATCCTCTTCCGTAGAGACATCATCCATTCATCGAATGAAAAAGCAATGAGATAATAACTATTTAATTCATAATAGATGCTGGCTCTTTCAGTTTAAAATAGGGTTGTCACGATACCAAACTTTTCAACTCGATACTGATATTAAGGAAAATATTCAATACTCGATACCATTTTCAATACCACAAGGATAAAAACTCAAAATTTCAACAGAAATATTTTGATTAATAATTAAAATACAATAAATAAATACAATAAACAATAAGAATAATATTTTGAGGTTGTTTGCTGTGCAGAGTATTAAGCAAGCTTGATAAAAAACTTACGAAATTAAAATTAAAGCTACAGTGTGTAACTTTTAGCGACATCTAGCGGTCAGACTGCAGACTGCAGCAACATGAACATCTCCCCCCCACCGCTTCTCCCCCCCCAACAGTACGGCGAGCATTACGGGAAAAAATGTCTTCCACGACGTCCGCATCACCTACCTTCTCAAGTGATGAGGTTTGTTTACATAGATAATTTTACAGATAGTATTTCATTAGTCTGTGTAGGGTATAGATTTCATGTAGACTTAAGATAATAAATATACCCGTTATTTTTTCTACATCGTTGTGACGTTTTGGCGATCTCGCAATCGCTAGTTTGTTGGCTCTGCGCTGCCGTAGCGCAAAGATGTCTGCCTCCATGGCTGCGAGACCCGCTCCTATGTAATTATAAATAACGAATTCTAAGGCAACGCAAATATTAAGGTTAAGAGGCTGAGCTCGTAGATGATGATAAATAACATAGTTATATATAATATATTACATTTCTGACTGTATATCCCTGTAATTATTACACACTGTAGCTTTAAATGTTCCTTCCTTGGCTATGCTTTGCACAAATAACAATGACGCTAGCCAAACCAGTTAAGAAACAAAAATCATTCTCAGCAGCTGCACATGTTACAAAAAAATTCTGAAACTGAAAAGTGCGTAGAATTATTCAATCCCACAGTTTTCAGAAAGTGCATTTTCCTCTATTCTGCACTTTAGATGAATGACTGTTTAGGTGCCACTTGTGGTAGCACTGTATCGATACTTTTGAAAACTAGTATTGTATCCGGATACAACGTTTCAGTATCGATGCTTTTTTGAGTATCGATACTTTTGACAACCCTAGTTTAAAAGCACAGCTACTTCCTGTATTATAGAGTTAAAATATGATCAACCTTTAAATCTAATAGAGAAAAATAATAAAAAGATTCAATTTGACAGACTTTATAATCTCAGATTAGTTAGTGAAGCATAAATAATGTGTAGAGGCTACTCACCATCCTCTTCCTCATCTTCTGATGTTGTTGTCTCATCATCATCATCATAATAATCTTCTTCATCATCTTCATCATCATCATCCTCCTCTAAAAATGGAAATCAAAAGGTTTACAGTATAGATCTCTGTTTAGTTTCCCTGTATCTCCAGTGTGGATTGTTAGATTTTGGCTCATGGTGATAAAGCAGCTGCTATTTATTCTCCAGATGTTCTATAGAAATGAAAGGAGGGTTTTTCCAGAACCTACCACGTGCTGCAGAGTTCCGACCACAGGTCGGTGCAGGACGACCTAAAACTTCATGCATGGCTTCGAAGAACTTCCATGTTGTTTCTCCTTTCTCTGATCCGTTTTTCTTCTCCCCAACGATCTTCTTATACTCTAATCTGAGCTTCTTTATCTTCTCTCGGCACTGCTTCGGGTTTCGGTCGTAGCCCCTACACTTCATCACCTCAGAAATTTGAACGAAAACTTTATGATTAAATGTTAATCCGTTCAGCATCGCCTGGATCGTGTCATCCGCCCATATTTTAATCAGATCCCTGGTCTCTGTTTCCCCCCAGGACCGACCGCGGTCGTTTGAAGACATTATCAAAAAGTCTGGGGCTGAGACCTCCATTTTTGGGTACCCTACTTCTTCCCGCTTTTTTTTGTGTTTTTCCTCTTCTTCTTCTTGTTTTGTGGCGCTTGGCGACTGATGCGCTTTAGCGCCATCTACCGGAGGCTGGCTGTAAGGAGATGACGCGGTCTGCGCATGCGCTGTTTGTTATCCGAGGACTGAGCCACAGTGGCCCCGCCCCCTGTCACTGCCCGATCCGTCCCGGAATCAAATCCGTTGTGCGCATGCGCGAACAGAACAAAATAATTCCAGGTCGCAAAAAACTTGGTAATAACGGTACTGTAAAATACTTATTTATATACTTAAAACATTAAACTACGCAGGAGGATCAGGGACACTGAAAAAAAAAGTGATTTTAAAAATTTATTTCAGTAAAATATCAGAAATAATATTTCGCAGTTCTGACTTTAATCTCAGAATTCTGAGGAAATACTGACAGCTAATAAACATTTAAGCATCAAGCCGTAGCCATGTCTGTTTTAGGCTACGTTCACACCGCAGCCTGAAGTGACCCAAATCCGATTTTTTTTTGGCCCATATGCGACCTGGATCCAATCTTTTCATAACAGTCTGAACAACACAGACCCGATTTTTTTCCAATGCGATCCAGACCACTTGGCTCTGTGGTCGGGAATCCGATAGGAATCTGATCTTTTTAAATGCGACCTGTGTTTGAACGGCCAGGTCGCATTCATCCGACCTGAACGCCATTAATACCCGACATAGATCACTATTCTGGCTCTTGCTATGAAGAAGCAGCAAGATAAATAAAAAAACCATGGCGGACGATGATGCGGAGAACAGTATTTATATTTAACCATCTTGAAAAAATTGTTTTTATGGTTGGGAAAGATCGCTAGATGTGCTCCGGCACTACCATCCATGTTTACTTCCGTAAACGTGAAACACGCTGGCCTGTGATGTCATTGCGTCCTCTATTGCAGATGCTAATCTAACTAATTACTCTTACTGTGAATATAACGACTAAATATTGTAACGACGGATGGGTAACTACAAATTTTAGCATAATGTTTTTATAAATTCCCCAAAATTAAGGCTGTTTAATTAAATGATTGGATGCTATTTATTGGTACTAGACACAGAGTTTTTTTGGGCCCCCAGGAACTTGGGGCCCTAGGTAACTGCCTAATATTGCCTGATGGTGAATCCTACGGTGGCTGAGAAGTGCAAAACACATTTACAATTCAAAAACAAAATAACATTTGAAGAAACAAAATTATATTTTATGAAACACATGTATTTTTGAAAAAAAAGTTAACATTTTTGAAAACAAATTTACATTTTAAATAAGTTAGATTTTAGGTGAGAGAAAGTTTCATTTTAGAGAAAAAAAAAATACATTATAGGGAAACAAATTTACATCTAAAAAAATAAATTGACCGTTCGGAAACACTTGAACAAGTGCAAAGACAAAACTGCAAGCGGCAAAACACAGTTACGTAGCCAAAAACAAATGTCCCAGTGGCCGGATGTGACGTCACCATTACCCTGACTTGTAGTACAAACAGCTCAATCTGTAGTCCTCCTGCCTCACGTGAAAAGTCAGCAGCGATTTTATTATTGTGGAGCAAATTTCAGCCAATTTACACCATTTTGTTCTTCGTGCGGACGGTCTCTGGAACTTTTACGGGACACGGACCGGGTGGCAGGATGTAAATTTGTTTCCCTATAATGTATTTTTTTTTTCTCTAAAATGAAACTTTCTTTCACCTAAAATCTAACTTATTTAAAATGTGAATTTGTTTCCTAAAATGTAAATTTGTTTCCTAAAATGTAAATTTTGTTTTTAAAAATTTTAACTTTTTTTTTTCAAAAATACATTTGTTTCATAAAATATAATTTTGTTTCTTCAAATGTTAATGTGTTTTTTATTTGTAAATGTGTTTTGCACTTCTCAGCCACTGTAGAATCCCCTGCTGGAACTGAGCGTGATAAGAGTTATCTGCTTCCGCTGCACACAGTCTGCTTTGTGCAAGTACAACTCATCACCATGGTAATGGGAAGCAGGCGGACTCCAGCTGCCTGCAAACCAGCAGCTGCCAAAGTCTCCGCTCAGATGTCCACAGACTGTTAATTAGTCGGGACACACAGTCCTGGCCCCCCCTGGGATCAAAGAACATTTCCTGTAGGTGCTTCAGAGAAGAGTGTTTGTGTTCAACGGGAAGATATATTCTTAAAGCATCTGCCTGGAAACTGGACAATGTTACCTTAAAAAAGCCCCTGGTTTACAAAGATAAAAGTTCAAACCTCTACTGCTCTTCTCGGTTAGAGTTTCTTGCCTCAGGATTATAGCGGCTGGAACGTCTGATATCTGTCCTGTCTCAATAAAAATATGTGAGGTTGGAGACAGCGCTAGGAAACCAGAGCGTTCAGCGTCTCAGGCTAAAGCTCATCCACACAGGTGTCAGGGTGCATGGAGGTTTGTAGACCATCCTACAGCAGAACTAACTAACTAATTAATTAGACTTAGACTCTTTATTTATCCCTCGGATTACTCCTTCAGGGAATTTTACATCTGGTGACTATGAGGTTTGTGCATCTAAGTCTCAGCTCTATACTTATTTATGTGCAACTAAACGCTGTACTCACCATGTCTCTGCACCATGACTAGATTTCTATTTTTAACTGAAATTTTTAGCAAAATGTTTTTTATTGAACTCAAAGTGTTAATCAGGCTTTTAGTTCGCTAGACTGACTGACTGATCCGGGTGCGGGGTGGGGGGCCGGGCCCCATCCAGATTTTAAGTTAACCTACTGGGTCATCCAGTAATCCGGGGACCGCCCATCGGCGCTGCCGGGTCCTGGGATCATTGGATGTCAGTGTTATGTGTGAACGTGCGTCCGCGTTTTTTTTTTTTTTTTTCTTCTCCTCTCCACAGAGACTGTGTGTTGTGAGTTGGGGCACCAGGGTGGGAAGGCACGATTGAGACTGTCTATTTGTTTTTTTGTTGTTGTTTTTGTCAGGTTGGGGTCTGAACTGCAAGCCTCCGCTAAGTGCGTAGCCCATTTTCCCCGTCCTGCTCTCCATTTGCTGGCTGGCGCCTGGGCTCGCCGGTGCACTGGCGGTAGCAGGTACTGGCTTATTCCTGGCTGCTGCTCTGCGGAGCCTGGGCCCCCGAGGCCCGGCCGAGGCTCCTGCCAAGAGGTGGGGCATCCCTGGGGCGTCCGGTCCCTGGGGCCCATGGCCGAATCCACCTCAGGGTGGCTGGCTGCTGGTGGAGCCGCTCGCCTTGGTGCCCTGGAGGGGCGCCTCTTCGGCTCCACACAACCACTGTTGAGCATTTTTTCTGCTCAAAATATTCTGATCTTCAGCTCCCACAGTAAACATGTCAGATTAAATAATTCTACTTAGACTTCAACGATAGTATAAAGGTGTTACTTTATTGTATCTCTTATACTGTATCCGTTGGTTGTTCTGTTCTTTTTCCATCTCTTTGCAGGCGATGAAGCAGACTAAAGACGTTTTATCATTATCTCCCTTTTATCTCCTCTTTCTTTCATCTTTTCTCCTTTTTTCTGTTTTTCCTTTCCTGTTCTACTTACATTGCAGTGTCCATATAATCTGTAAAACTCCCTGCATAATTATAATAAAGCTATTTATATATGTCATGAATCAGTGTTTGTAAGGAGGACCCAAACGCAGAGACCAGTTGGCAGAGGTGAATAAAGCTTGTTTATTCTGGTTCACAGAACCAGGGGCAGGAATCAGAGTCCAACAGAAAAACAGCAAACGAACCTGAACCAAGGAGACATCAGGGGTAAATCAAAACTAGAAGCCAGGGAGAGACGAGACAGGGCAGGATGATAACAGACAGGAAGCAAAACGGGATGTTTGACGAGGATCCAGCAAACAGGAACTGAACAGGGAGGGCTTTTAAAGGGGACAGAGAGAGAGCTGACGAGGAAATTGGCAACAGGTGCTTGGCAGGACAGAGAAACAGAGCAAGGGAGGACACAAGAGGGCAGCAGAGGACAACAAATGGATAACTAAGGAAAACAGGAACAATCAGACCAGGAACATGACAACATGCATAAATCAAGCGGATCACTATGGCGATAGCCGTACTGCTCCACTTGTGAAAGTAAAATCTGTTGGGCTCTTTTTGGCACCAAGACAATTATTCTTATTGCCAGACAGGACATTGTTTAAAAAAAAAATCTGGATTCAGGATTTAATAAATAAATAAAATAACAATAAACAATTATCAATCAGATAGGAGCTTTAAGGAGACAGAAAACCCAGAGTCTCCACAGCTTAGACCGGTATCAGATTGCACTACTTTTGGTGTCAGGAAGTGAAACTTCATTGCCAGATGCATTTATCCTACAGATCAAACTATACATTCACTTCCGTAAAACCGTATGTAAGGTATCGACTTCAGTTGTGACAAACATCTCTCTCTCACTAGTCCATCTTGACCATATTAAAAGTTCCTTTGATCTGCTGAGAACATTTTATTATTTTAAAGCAGTAATACAGCTCCTACAGCGGTGACTCATGGCTGCTGGTGTTCTGAGTGACAAGCCAGAGCAAGTAGAAGCGATAGCAGCCGGCTTCTGTCATTGGCTCCAGCTGGGAGGGGCTAATGGATCCCTGCTCATAACCTGCTAAAAGCACTTTTTGAAAAAAACAAAACGATTTTCCTGGGGGAAACTTATTCAAACATTACCAGGACCTTCAACTCTGAGTTCTGTACAAGGGGGGGGGGAGTATAAACTGGATCTCTGTGAGATGAAAATCCAATCATCTGCTTTAAAACAGAGCAAGAACTGCAGAAAAATGCATGACTTTTGAGATCTTTTATTCAGTGGTTGGTTTCCATGGTAGCAGGTTGCATGGTGGGTCCTCATTCATTATCCTCTCTCTGCATTCTTGTAAACTCAAACACATTTTATACTCCCGTGCATAAAAATCAGCTGCTGCACATGCAGCTCATACATACTGTAGTTATTCTATTCTATTCAGTTTATTTCTATAGCTCCAATTCACATCATGTCATCTCAGGTCACTTTCCAGTTCACCAGATCATCCAGTCAGATTGATTCAAAGTTTTCTATCTAAGGAAAACCAGCTGATTGCATCGACTCATTGACTCTTCAGCAA